ATTACTTCTCAACAGTGCCTTCCTCGTTCTCAGTTCAAAACAGATTCAAACACGTCCACTTCCCTGAGTATGGATGCACGTAAGGAATCACCGTTCAGATCTCTATAGACAACACGCTTACCTAGCACACGCCTTCCTTGCAAGATCATAACTAACACGTACAGAAGTATTCCCATCTTGTTCCATAAACCACTACTACTCTGTGATCATGATCGGATTATCCACCTTCTGAGCATAGCCAAAGAGAGCCAGCAATGCAGGTACTGGTCTGCCGACGTATATGAAAAAGAAAGAAACGTCCACACGCTAATAGCGAAACCTCCAGTTCATAAAATTGTTTATTCGCTTTATTTAAATGATTAAACTTAATTGGAGAGAACATTTCTGAATGAAGTGGCATCAATCAAAACGAAAATGTAGAAGTGATGCCCTTTCCCCTTACCAATTAACATACAATTTATGCCACTACGTATATTTAAACTCCTTTACATGAGACGAGTAGAACCTGTGACACACAGTAGGATCTGTGGCCAAGGTGAAATTTGATATCGAAAGTATTAACAAATTACATGTCTTTTAGAGTGTGCAAAACACCTTTAGAATCTTCTCACTCGAAATGCTTCTTTGAAAACCTCCGAGCAATTTATCATTAAGTTCAAATTACTTGAACGACTCAACTGCTCAATATCCCCCAAATGCACCTCGAACTTTCTATTTTTTCTCATTCAAACAGCTTTACTGGCTTCTTGTATTCACTTAAAGCACTTTTTAAATCTTACACTTTTCGGGGATTCCCCAAGGCATGAATCAATAGCAGAGTCGAAACCGTTGTACAATCAAAGTCCACTTGGGTTAGGTATCTGCACATTGGCAAAAACCACGGTATTCAGAGTAACAAAGGGCAAGCCTTTGACCTTTGCATACACGATGGTTGGCGCGAAACGTACTAGGAAATCCATGTGCTTTTTGGTTTGGTCGAGTAGCTTTTCTCCATTGCATTGAAATCTTCAGGCGTTTACTGACAGCGTATTCAGGGCTCACACTGGTCTGCTACCCGAGCCAGACATTGTGCCTGTTGAAGCCAAGTCACTTATGCGAATGCATCAAATACCTGCAAGCACTGTCTGATAAGAGCAGCCCCGACAACCTTGGCGGGTCCGCCATTTCCCATTGGTGGTCCAAGGTAACATACATCTTTTGCTTCATTTTGCGCATAATTTTGCTCCAGTAACGTTGACAATACGCCGTACATGTATTTCAACGTGGTGTTTGGCTGCGTTGTGGAGTGTAAAATCAACCAAGTTTGGAGCCCCATGGCAGGCAACTGAAGTCCCTGAGGCCTCTCAAACAAAAAACAATGTGTTGTTTGGTCCTTTAGGTTTCATTTGATTTTCAATTTTTAGAAGGTTAACCAATGAATTTTTTAATTATCCGCCCTAAANGGTACTTCCAATTAGTGCCTTCCTCGTTCTCAGTTCAAAACAGATTCAAACACGTCCACTTCCCTGAGAATGAATGCACGTAAGGAATCACCGTTCAGATCTCTATAGACAACACGCTTACCTAGCACACGCCTTCCTTGCAAGATCATAACTAACATGTACAGAAGTATTCCCATCTTGTTCCATAAACCACTACTACTCTGTGATCATGATCGGATTATCCACCTTCTGAGCATAGCCAAAGAGAGCCAGCAATGCTGAGGTTCTGGTCTGCCGACGTATATGAAAGTGAAAGAAACGTCCACACGCCACTAGCGAAACCTCCAGTTCATAAGTTTGTTTATTCGCTTTGCTTAAATAATTAAACCTAATTTGAGAGAAAACATTTCTGAATGAAGTGGCAGCGATCAAACCGAAAATGTAGAAGTGATGCCCTTTCCCCCCTTACCAATTAACATACAATTTATGCCACTACGTACATGTATATACCAAACTAAAAAGCACAAAAGGGATTTCCCAGTACGTTTCGCGCCAACCATCGTGTATGCAAAGGTCAAAGGCTATATATACACGATGGCTGGCGCGAAACGTACTGGGAAATCCCTTATGTGCTTTTTGGTTTGGTCGAGTAGCTTTTCTCCATTGCATTGTTTACTGACACCATATTCAGGGCACACACTGGTCAGATACCTGAGCCAGACATCGTGCCTGTTGAAGCCAAGTCACTTATGCGAATGCCATGATCAAATGCCTGCAAGCACTGTCTGATAAGAGCAGCCCCGACAACTTTGGCGGGTCCGCCATTTCCCATTGGTGGTCCAAGGTAACATACATCTTTTGCTTCATTTTGCGCATAATTTTGCTCCAGTAACGTTGACAATACGCCGTACACGTATTTCAACGTGGTGTTTGGCTGCGTTGTGGAGTGTTATGGAAGCCACCTGACATTTTAAACACTTGTAACTGTTCTCTTGGTTAGCTATGGAAGCGTACGGAAGCGTATAAGGGCCAGTTGCAACAAAAAAAATTCGGGATACTATATCGCCGCGGCGAGTTACTTATCTGAGGCGGCGTTATTTATCTCTTTATTTTAATCTAAAACTAGTTCAACTCGGTGCATATTAATACTCAGTCTAGATACCAGACCCAATGATTCAATGGTCACGTGGACATTGGGTGCTACAGCACCCTTGATAAGAGGAGTAGACGGAATAACTGGGTCTGAAATCCAGATACCGAGTATTATGCAGCGAATTGAGTTAGTTTTACCTAACTCGCCGCGGCGAGATAGTATCTCGAAAAAAAAATTTGCAAGTGGCCCTTTTACGCTTCCGTTTTACGCTTACGCAGACACCGATTTTTTTTTTTATGTCGATCCACTCGTTGGCAAACGCTACTCAACACTTGTATCGAGTTACCTTTGACATTAAAAAACTCAAGGCCATTGACACCACACTACGTTTATTTGTGTGCTAACTCCTACGACGTTCAGTGGGCTGTTGGCTCCATAGGAATTTGCAGATAAATGTGACTGTCACGGTACACAGGTCCCGCCCCTTGTTTAAGCTTTAGAAAGAGTTCCATATAGGGAAAACACTTGATGCCCAAGTGCACTAGCCTGTGAGACTTGTCTGAAAAAACTGAGTGTTTTGTAAGTGAATGCTTTGGAATTTCCTCAGCTAAATTTCACTTTTTAGGGCATGTTATCACTTTCTGATGGCTGTTGTAACATTTTTAAGGGAAATTTTGTGTTGTCTGTACATGTATATGGAACTCGTTCCTACCTTTTTTCTACACAAGGGTAAAGCCTATCTGAACACACCCATGTTTGACGTGACATTCCACTGGCGTGACGCACTCACAGTTTCGTAATCCAGGAAATAGAATCCTCTACATGTTGTTTTGCAGGGGTAAATCCAGTGTTTCTTTGTTATAAATGACGCTCTTCTATACGTATAAAATACATGCCTGTGTGCATGGCAGAGCAGTAGGTAAATACCGCTGTGGTTATTGTTTCATGCCATACCGGTATACCGGTAAGTGTATAGTTCCGGGTTCTTCTAAGGAAAACAAAATGTGAGAACAAATTGGGTGCCGAATGCATTTTCAAATAGGACACTTTGACATTGTTTATTTCAAGGATACCCGCTGTTAAACATCTTCAAATCCACGCGACACTTACCGACTGAAGTAAATAAGAGTTGTTGCTGATAAGTCATAGGTGAAGATATAATGGACTCCACTGCTAAGAGCGAGTCTATCTCCCTTCAGAAACTAAAGAATGTCATTCTAGATTAAATATAGGCCTACTGTCTCCTGTGGTATTCATTTGAAAATATCCATCGGCAGGCAGATATCTCCATGATGAGATCAACTACACTGCTAGTCCTTGTGGCTCTCAGCTGGAGAGTTGGATTCCAACAGATACTTAGTGGAGTTGGGCCAGCGAAGGATAACCGGATAACGGCACAAAATACGACCTTAGGACGCTCCCGTGGAACACGAAGAAGTGGTAAGAAACAAAAGTATCCTCAATTCAGTTCAATTCAATTTAGAACTCTCCAAGACTGAGAGGTACGTGTGTAAATCGAAGTTACGAGAGAAAATTACAAGAGAAAATGATATCAATGACTACAAGTAATACTTGAAAGCCAAATAAATCCTCAGCCTGATTATTTCAATGTTATTCTTGCATAGATGTTGAAAACAAGTCCTTTGAAGTAAAAAGGTGTACTATTCCTATTCTTTGATTCCTAAACCCCCTTACTATATTTCACTGAACTGCTGGCCCGTGAAACGTGAGGAAACAGAATACACATGGTTACATTTGGAGAGCAAGTTGATTGTGATTCAATTCGCATTTATTTTGACAATCCTTCGGGGTGTTACCATGTAATGCTTGGTTTTATTTTCATTGTGATATTGTTCACGTTTTCCCTGATAAATTATACATGAAATGAAAAGAAAATATTTTAACGCTCTCAGTGTGTTTTGGTTGTTGTATATTCACGCATATGTTTAGGTTTTTGGCCGTTCATGGACAGAAGTTCAAGGTATTTGTTCTCTATGGCGTATACATACGTGTCCATAGAGACTCCAAAGCTTATCCTATAGTGTGGGTAAAGGTTCATTACGATATTCTTACGATGGACTAGTTCATGTTTTGTACGTGAACACAGATGCAGCCCAGAGTCCATTACTCGTCAGTGAAAGAAAGGTGTACCTCCAGAGTGGTCGTGCCTACTGCCTTCCCTGCTCAGTCATCCGACCCGGTGATGTTGTGACAGTCATCTTCTGGTTCAGAGGAGAGAGTGAGGATGCCACTTTACGAGATCTCATCCTTCGTCATGTTTATCCTGATGATGGTCAGAGCTTTGCAGTGGACGACCGATATAAGATTTCACCCTCTCACGGTCTCATAATCGACCCGGTGTATTTGAATGACACCGACAGGTACTGGTGTAAAACTGTGCGTGAGTCCTCGAGCCAGTTTGTCGAGGACTATCTGGATGCAACAGTACTAGGTAGGCTGAGAAGTCCCGAATGCAATCTTTTCTGTTGTTTTCTTCTCCATATATACGTCTACCAGGTGCGACTTTTGTCATCCTCTTTGTTGTGTTGCATTTCAACTAAGCATTCCACCCTGTCAACAATATTTCAACAAAAATCCTGTTGCCATTTTTGACTAAAGTTTGGGGCTTGTTGCCACCATTTTCAGGGGCAAAACCAAGACTTGTCGGTGCCTAGAGCCTCGTTTATCCCAGCACACTGAACGTCGGGAAGTGTGCAAGAAAATAGGAGCAAATTATAGTCAGCCCAGTGTAACATGGAACGTGGACTCAAGTCTAGCCGTATTTCTCTTGCTTGTAATGAGCTTTAGTAGACCTGACTCGAGTTTGCTACGTATCGAATACGTCACTAACCTTATGGTCAATGACTCCATCCCTCGTGTAGGGCAAATACTACAATACACGAGCATCTTATGTAAATCTGAGGTGTTGAACATTCAGCAAGAAACCACGATCTAATGTTTCAGAGTATCAGTTGATCCAAAGTGGCGAAATTTCAAATTGAACAACGTAAGACAAAAAACGAAAGGAAAACCATGTATGTTTGTTTGCATTTTTTTCTTCCAAACAGGAAATATATTCCCAAGAGAAAGTGAGGCTTCTGCCAGCAATGTTAGTAGTTTTCAGAGACACGAAGTGGATAACACCATCGAGTGTCCAATCCTCGCTAAGGCACCGGCACAGGATGAAGTCACACTCTATTGGTCAGTTTACAATGAAACCAGACGAGATCTTAATATTGTTTCTGCCAAATTCTCTGACGGTGAGAGGCACACTTTTCCGAAGTATGGGGAAGTGGGAAACAACAGATTAGCAGTGGAGGAATTCACGAAAAGAGAAGAGCGATACTGCTGCCACTTATTCGAGGTATCTTCGGAGCTAAGGACAGGGTGTGTTGACATGACCTGGGTGGGTAAGTTCTTAATTATTAATTGACTCTATTTGCTTATATTGTTTGTTCCTATTGTCAATGCCCGTGGCCGCATGAATTTGGTTGCTGTTTTTGCTGTTTTTGTTCTTAAAACCAGCTGTCGTTAAAGCTACGTGAATATCAAAACAAATCCAAGAGACCAGAATGACACGTAAGTATTACGTTTAGCCAGAGCAAAAATAATTTGAACAAAGCAGACTCTCACCACTGCCCATTAAACACTTTCTGAGAGTTTCCACAGATTGATTCAGTTTTACTCACATCTGGCTCTGGAAACTGAGCAAATAAAATCCTATAAAATATACTAAATTAAATTACAAGACTCTACACCGAAATACACGAATTATGCCAAGCAATTAACCTAACACTCGAGACTAAAACTAGGAACTATCCAGGAGTTATAACCCCAAAAGTTTAGGAAACCATGGTGTATTATATATCCAATGTTTCCCAACACTGCCACTGACCATTTCAGCAGACATGAAATAGCCTTCAGTAATTGACAAGATATTAAAAAGATCATTACATTTAACATGGTACAGATTTATATCAAGAAATTTCTACACCTTAATGAGGCCTCCAGTGTTGGTCATTCCACCCGTACTTCTGCCTTACTTCCAGTGACTATCGGTTACATGTACTCCAGCCACGCCCCAGCAGAGACCACACAGCAAGCCAAAATAAACCAGGCCGATGCAGTGAGCAAGTGAGCAAAGATGCCAGATGGAATGACGCTGCTCATTCCTTGCCAGGGCATCTTATACCTAAGTCACGCTTGAGCGCGCAGAGTACAAAAGAATATTTTTACTGCAGAATGGGCACAGCTTTGAAGACTGCACATAATAACGAAGCAAGAAATGGGACGGAGAGCGCCCCCACCTTTGGGCTGGTCGTTGTTTAATCAGAATCTCAGGAATTCTCTTCAGACATCTGGGGGGGAGTGTATTAGGTAACAATAGTCTAGAGTGTGTATAGGGATTGGGCATGTAAGGGGGTACCCTTCGTCCCATATCTTTCTGGGTATACCAAAAACAATCTGGAATCCTTGTGTCCCAGCTTAACCCTCTATTGTTGGGCTGTCAACATGTATATATCCCGTTCATAATGACACGGATGTTCTGGGTTGATTTTTTTTGTTGACAGCTCAGGCAAATCAGCAATATCCCAACATATCAGGCTGTGATATGAACAGGAACACGTGCGCTTCGACACTCACGTTCCAGCAAGACTGCGTAGCTTATGAATGTTCCGTCAAATCTGTCTATCCAAAGCCCGCCCTCGACTGGACGTTTGCAAACTGCGTGGATGAAGGAAAGCCTATGTTCGTTCAGACTGCTTCTTCCACACCCCTATCCGCCGATCAGACATACGACATGATTTCTAGGTTGTACATCGTCGAGCCTCAGTTTGAGGGTGCTTGTGAATTCACGTGTACAGCGAATGGTGACGCCGTTAGAGATGGAACATCTAAGTTGACTCTTGCCATCACACGTAAGCATCTTTCTGTACAGCACAATGCTTCAACGATATCGATGATGTGATATGAACCATTTATTGAAGACTACAACAGACAAGAATCACTTATTAAACAGGTGCATACAAATTTCTGTGTATGGTTAGACGTTTTGCTATCAAACCAAGCGTGTGCTGTTTACTTATGGTCTGCCGTTATTCTTTAGGTGGTAGTGACAATGCAGCTACCACTTCTAGTTCGACCCTGCCGTTGCCCATATACACTCATTGCGACTGCAAGTGGGCTTTGGTTGTATTTCTCGCGATGTTGACGACCTTCCTCATCTGCCTTCTTACCACCTGGGCTATTCTGGTCTTCCCAAGAAATCGCAAGTTCATCCAGAAACACATCAATGAGCTCGCGACTTTCAGCTGTTTGCAGAAGCACGAGGAGAAAGCAGCTACGGGACAAGGTTGGTGCCAGGTGCTTTTTTCATATCTCCCTAGCTGTCCCAATATATTGTTATGTAAATGTATTTACCAACGATCGTCAGCTCACAGACAGATAGAACCAATTAAGACACAGCAACAACCAGGAAGGAAGGTTCCTAGTCTTATACCATATTATCCGGAAGTAGAAACACGGGAAATCTTATATGTAGTTGAGAAAATTATCTTGTTGGCTGGCGGGGACTTCCACTAGCCTACTCGCCAAGATTCAGGTGATCAAATGGTGAAGTGTAAAATTACTCGTTTCATTGTAAACCACACTTGTGCAGATCTCAGCCCAACTTGTTAGTTCTCAAGCAGTGTTGACACTTAGTATGAACTTTTTTTCAATCGAAGCACTCAGTGAGCTTCTAATTATTTTTGCCAGATACTGACATCGAGAATGGTAAAAATGCACAGCTGGATTCCGGTTTTCTAACATCTGATGAGAACCTCAGTGGTAAGCAGCTTTCGAAGCATGTTAACGATTTTTATGAAATTAAAACAAACTGCTCATCTAATTATTAGGCGATTTTTATTCCACAGAAAACCAGCAAGAAATGTCACCCATGCTAGGGGATGCAAACGTAGAGACGGGTTTGAAGGATGCGACAGACGAAGGTGATTACAACCAGCCATATGGCTACGATTAAAACATTTACAGCTGATTCCAAATTTGATGCTTTGCATTGCGTTCATTCTATTGACAGGTTCTCTGTGTCTTGTGGTAAGAGAAGCTCTGGACGTTCTGTTTACAGGTCAGTCTATTCTTTGAGTTTTGAGGGCGCCCTCTAAACAGAACGCCCTCAGAAAATGAACCGGTATGCCCAAACCAAGCGAAAGATGCGTTACGAGGAATTAAGAGGGTTACACACTATGATCCAAATTTCTTTCCGTAAACTTAAGCCTCGACTGTCAACGCATATATAGCCCAAAATATAAGTCAAATCTTCGGAAAGCCACATTGTGTTATTGTTTGCATTGCAGACAGCAAAAACAAATGGAGGCCCATGGGCCAGTTCGTCACCCAGTCTGCTTTACATGACGACAACGGGAGTGGATTCCAGGCTATTAAAGACGTCATGCGCGGTCAAGATGGTGGCCTGTTTGTCATCGATGCACGTGGCTTGCATTGGTACGACTCAAATTACACTCACCACTTTACTGACTTGAATCAAATACTGGACGAAGAAAGCTATTGTAGTGTTGCCTGTTATAACGCCAGTAAGCTCCTCTTAGGGTTAAACAGAGGAAAGATTGTTGAGTTTGATGTCCTCACCGGACAGATCTGTAACTTTTGCTCCGTGACACCGGTAGGACATGCATATGTTCAGCTAGCTGGTATGTGCGTGGACAGTCTTGGTTTTCTTTTCGTGGGGGATAGAAATGGGAAGGCGGTCTCCTTGTTTGATGAGAGTGGTAGGTGCATAACGCGGATGGAAAATATCATCGAGCCTGTGTTCTCATACGCGCATGCTTGCCAAGAAGCACAAGGCCTATTCGTGAGCTCTGGCACCGCGGTGAAGAAGTATAACATCGTGAAGAGCAATACTAATAGTAAAATAGTGCCACAGGTAAGGTTCACAATCGACCAAGGCTCTCTGGGCGTGGAAAATTTCTATTCTGGCTACGTCACAGTCCAAGAGAATAAGTTATTTATAGTGAATCACCTCGAGGTTGGTGAGTGCTTGCAGGTTTTGGAACATGACGTAGGGAAGGGCACGAAGGAGCATAGCTTCATCGTGAAAGTGCCAGATCTCCGTGGGGTCAGGTTCTTAGAAAGAGACAGAATGGTGGTGTACACTGATGATGCCATTCATCTCTTTGAAAGGGGTGACAGTTCTGAATAACTCTGCTGCAAATGAATTAGTAGCTGGATATTCGTAACTGCGTTACTACACAGCCTAGTCAACCTGTCAAATGTGGCCAAAAGCTCTTCATAATTGAGTGAGTACGAATTAACATCATTCTTAAAACTGTCCTCGTTAATAGTTATGTGTGGGCAAATGTGTGAGCAGGACGCACATTCCATAGGCGAGATGTCCTTGATACATAGGCAGACTAATAAAGGCTTGTGTTGGACTTGGGTATAGGTGAATGGGTGTGCTGTTGAAGAAAAGCGTGTTGTACGAATAATATCAATGGGGTAAAATTCCTGGAAGCTCGAGGGATGGTTTATAGTGCTGATAGAAAGTGCAGAGAGATGCAACATCCGTTATGTGGTCTAAGAAAAAAATTCCAACTTGTATTGGGTCATTTGGAAGAAGATTTGATATGCATACTTTTGAAAGGGATATTTTATGCAGACAATCATATCTCCTACTTTTGGTGATTTCAAAGGATAAAAGCAAGTTTTTGCATCTCTATGCTGATCAAATTGTACATTTTTAAAAAAATTCTAATCAACACATTATTCAGCCCCCAACTTGCTAATCTGATAATTACACAGATATCAGATAATGTTGCCATGCCAGGCATCTGTATTCAAATGGAGTTAGTTTTTTTTTAATATTTGCCGGCTTAAAAATATAACTGGCCTACTGGCTACACTCGTATTCACATTCATTTTTTCCCTCATCTGTTTATCCGTATGGAATGTATTTTATGATTTTTAAGTTTTTCGTAGGCTTGTACACATGATGCGAAATTACTGTTTTGTTGAATTAATTTGATATAGGAAGAGCTACTTCTAGAATCATACATTTATGCTCAGAAAAAGTGCTTAATGCTAGCTAAAGAGCAACATGATACCACGACATTTAAATTTACCAATAAGCATTTTTGTAAAGACCAACTCCAACGATGTTGCTTTTTCTCATATTGAATCCTATTCAGAAAAACCAAATTTAATAAAACTGGCACATATCAAGATCTCCCTTGCAACACACGTTTTTGTGTTAATAAAACACAGTTTTTGTACCCATTTTTCCTGGGAGTCCAGTCTCCAGTTGTAAAATGGATGTGTCGTCACGACTCATGAGCATCTAATGAATAGTGATTTCTGTGATATATTACGCAAAATTATGCAATACATACATGATTTGGTAATGAATGTATGATTTATTAAACACTAAACGCAATACAAGTTTATTTTCAAAACTTTTAAAACAGTTGGAGTTGGTCTTTAATAATAAGTCACGCAAACTGCATTCAACGCAACAGGTGTAGATTGATTGGCTATTGAAAACCGTTGGAAATCATTTACCATGTAATGTAAGAAAGCTTGCTCAAACAAGCCTCTGAACTAATGAAATGGCTAATTAGGATTTTAGTGTTATGTATGTTTCTTTTATATTAACTTGAAAAAAATTGTAGCTTAGATTCAGGAAACCAGCTTAAATATTCAGACGAATACATCAATATAGTTTTTTAATATTGGCCGTTATAACAACAATCTACTTTAAAACAGAAGTTCGGAATCACCCTGGTCCAAAATTTATTACCTTGCATTTCGATTTTTTAGCTCCACCATGCACAATACAATTTTGTCCATCCAAACAAGAAAGCACCAATGTTATTTTTGCAGACTTTTTGGCGGCAAAATCCTTGACTTGGAACACTTTCTTCTTCTCAATATAACATGACATATCAAAGAAAATTCCCTGGGTATTACATATCACTCACAGTTAAAACGTAACTGCAACTCATGGCACTAGGAAAAAAGTTATAGTGTCTAGCCCTTTAAATATCAATGGAATCGCTAAGGAAAATAAATATAATCTGGGCAACCCTTTTGAAAACAGTTTCCCTTGACTTTGTTCTGACTCGGACAACTTCGGCCTTTCCTGTCTGTATGGTTTTTAAAAGCTTCAAGTCAACGGAAACATATCCAGAAATTGTTTCCTGTCTCCCGGGAGATCTTTGAGGACTTGTAAGTGTCGCACTGCATCACCTTTCCCTAGAACCAGCCAACCTGTGGCAGCGAAGTTCCTCCCGACAAGAAGGGTCATGGGAAATGAAGTAACGACCCAGCATGCCCTCAAGCAAGGCTACGGAGATGCCGGCCATGGTGACGTCAGTCTATTAACTGTGTCCAAAGACTATCCATTGAAACTGAAATAAAATGAAACATCAGTCAACCCTGAAGGGCAATCACGTTGAAAACACCTATTCAGAGTTCTCTGGAATTTATCCTTTGGACTAAAGTCGATCACGTCTTGTTAGAGATTTCCAAACACAACTGATTATACTCTTAGCCCGAACATCTCAGGGCCATCACTTCCGCCAGCAACGCATCGTTCTCCCAGTGTCATCGTAGACTTGAGAAACCATTCGAAACTTAACCACGACACAGCACTGCCTGAAGTGAGGCTGCCGAGGGGTGTTTTGCATTATGATGTCAGTCCCTTAACTCCGTGTGCAGACTCTTGCCAACTTTCAATGAAAAAAATCGTTGCAATGAACAAATAGATAATAAAAGGAGCGTATCCAATATCCACTCAGTATTCTTTTGTGTTTATCCTTACACCAAAGACGAAAGCTGATTAATCTTAGGGGCATTAACAATCGCCAGAATTACGCTCATCCAACCTTTTCAGGGGCACCCGAGGACAATACCTTGAGCGAGGTTGCACGGAAGGTTGTGCATCTATGGCGTCAGCCCTTCAACTCTATTGTGGTTATTGAACTTTCAACGAAGAAAGAACCTGGAAGGTCATCGGCAAATTGATTTTTATGCAAAATGATATTGCTGTCCCCACAACAGACGGGCCAATGATCTCGGCAATGCGTCAAGGCAGGCTTGCATTGACAGTTGCGCTGTGTAGTGTGCATATTTCGTCGGTTTCACCACGAAAAGACGCGCGGAGTAGTTTTGGTGCACCACGAAGTGACGTACCGTTTATAGACTTAAACACACGACACATGCACGTCGTGGTGCAACCGACGATTGTGTGAGGCAAATCGAGAAGAAAAGGTGCCGCCAAGGCTGGAGGAAGTCTGAAACGCACGAACGACAAGATTTGGACGTCTACTTTGTGATTTAGTCGTACATTAAAACTAATTAGACTCAAGGACGCAAACCAACTGTGGACAACCTTTGGCCACAGTTTTCAAGACATGTTTCCTCAATCTTTTTGCGGTCAGTATTTCCACGCGAGATAATGAGCGCCTGAATTATCAAATCAATGATCGTCGAAAAATTTGAGTCCGTGGTAAGGCTAATCTGAAGAGTGGTACTGGAAAACTTGATAGCTAACAACCTTGACGCTTCGACCAGCGCATTGTGAGGGAAGAGGTTTTCTCAAACCTACATTTGATATTTAGAAACACCTCTTTGTAAAAGAGGTATGCTCTGCGCACTCTTTCAACTTGGAAAGCGGAAAATAATTCAATGACTGAAGATCTCTACAACCAAAATGGTAACTGACCTGTTTACCGAGGTTCACTTTGATTTGGCGCAGGGCCAAAATTCTTAAACGAGTTGCTTCCAGTTAACAAGAAAGTGGACAATATGTCAAAGTACCCGGTACAAATCCAGATGGTCTTATGTTTTCGAAATACAAAATTAATTTTCTCTATTGTATGCAAAAATGGTACAAATTGAAGGGGCAACGGAAAATTCAGATTAAAGATTAAGGACGTGTGTGCAATGATGAACCCGTATCGAAAAATGAGTTAGTTCGGTATTTCAAATAGCCACCGGTGGTCCAAGAAGAACGCACGTATTCTATATGACCTCGGACGCGCTTTGCTTTGAGCACGAGAACTGGCTCGTTACAATAAACTGTCCAATTACAAGAAGGCAACACTACTGCAACTAGGCAGTTTGATAAGCACTGGACGAAGAACTCTATGGTTATGAAAATGTCAAGGTTATCGTTACCTGAACTTACTTAATCAGCGCCACTCCCAGTGAACTATGACCCAAACCACTGGTACGTAAAGAATGAAAACACTGGAGTATAAAAGTTGGGCGACCGGTTAAAAGCGAGACATTATATCATCAAGTTGAGTGCTACAAACGGTCAGCAATGATGGACAGTCATGTCTGCCTCGTTACAGGTGCCTCAGACGGCATCGGGAAACACACAGCAATGCGCCTGGCTCAGACCGGGGCTACAGTGCTGATGCACGGTCGCAATCCAAAAAAACTCTCCAACGCTCTGAGCGAGATAGCTCGCAAGACCGGCAACAGCTCACTGGAGGGCTACACGGCTGACCTCAGCTCCTTAAGCCAGGTCCGGGCCCTGTCAGAGGAAATCCACAGCAAGCATCGCCGTCTGGATGTCCTCGTTAACAACGCCGGCGTGTTCATGATAGACAGGATTGATTCCGAGGACGGCTACGAGATGACATTTGCCGTCAACGTTCTGGCACCCTTTCTGCTGACGTCCCTTTTGATGGATCTGCTTCAGACTAGTGAGTCAAGCCGGATCATTCACGTGAGTTCCGCACTGCATCGTGAGTATCAACCCGTCAAAGGTTTTGAGCCTACCACTAACTGGACTCACAGTGATGGGCGACGGGCTTACGTGCTCTCCAAAGTCCATGAGGTTATGTTCACCTACAAAATGGCCGACCTTCTTCAAGATCAAGGAAACATCTCAGTTAACTGTCTCCACCCCGGCCGAGTGAACACCAAGCTGCTGGGCCAAGCCTGGAAGGGCAAAATGTCCGGTATTCCGGTCGAGGAAGCAGACTTCGTGTTCCGCGCCGCCACAGATCCCCGCCTAGACGGAGTGACAGGGAGATACTTCGAGGACGACATCGATACACGATCAAGCGATATTACGTACAACAAGGACGAACAGAATAGGTTGTGGGACATTCTAGTTAATTTGACGGGCGCAGTTTTTTAGAAGTCACTTGAAGAAATTACAAGACTGATACTCGCTGACTTCACACGTTGTCACAATACTGCCGGTGACTGTTGATGTAAAAAAGTGAACTTCCAGCGTCAACATGACTGTCTGTTTTACTTTTTACCTTTAAAAAGTTTACATTCGTGTCTGAGTCTAATCTTGGGTATTATTGATAGTGTTGTACAGATTTTAATTGTGCCGAAGAGTATTAAAAGTGAATACGTCATGTGCACAATTATTTATATAGGCCTAAACGGCATTATGGCAAGAATCAGCGCCCGAACCAACACGCGCGCGTACTCCATTCGTTTTGCACTGCACTTTCTGGTTTACAGTGACGTCACACTTTGGTACCCTACACGAAGTCCTTATTTTCCCATGCAGCTTTTATACGCACGTGAAGTCAAGGTTGGTAATGTAGGCCCGCTATTCCTCAGCATAGTATTATAATGACGCTTTTATATAACTTTGCTATTTACATACTAAAATATGTTGTAATTACAATGAAGATGTGGGACTTTTAGGGTTAGATTGAATTGAAATCCAGTTTATCGGTTATTAAAAGTTTAAAATCAGCCGATGAATGAAGTAACCTGTGTTTTAATCGATAACACACTATCGCTAGTCCATTAGACAAATAGTCTTCACAGGATAGATGGCAACCCGGTGCCAATTCAGCTTGGCACACCCAAGGCGTATTGTTCCTCCAAAAAATTGAAATAGACATCACGAAACAGATTTCGGATATAAGGAATACATCTACCTTTCAGATGGGCTCACAGGCTACTTATCTGGCCTTTTCAATTCGATGGCGATCACCGCACGAGACAACTCAAGACAAATACGAATGCTACAAATGGGAACTAGAATACGCCTTAAATGAAATTTATTGGTGTTTTTTCTAAGTTGAAATCAGAAATCCAGCTCATTGATAATCAGGGACAAAATGAAAGTATCGCACTGCCAAAAGTAATAACTTGCATTATGTAACTGTTGAAATCACTTGGAATTTTTTTTCTCATTTTACACTGACTAGCAACTAATGCATTCACTCACTTCACATGGCCTAAGTTGAGTCTGAGTCACTTCAAAAGTACCATCAGGGTTTACTTTTTACGTACCAAGTGAATTTCATGTTAACAGGACCATGGCTAATATTAAAAATTGTAACTTTTATGACCTCAATATGACATCACAAAGTTTGTAATGCCATGTTGATGTCAAGCTAAACAACTACTTGAAATCCCCCCCCCGGACTTGCAAAAAAGAAAGTTAAAGAACGTTGAGATAATCTGATTGTCATAATGACACTACTCTGTGTTTATGTCATAACGGCGCTTCTTATAACGCGTCTTCGTTTCCATCTTGTGCCAGGTTGCAACCCACTATATAGTTTGGCAGATGCAGGCAAACTAGGAATTCAGTTCAACTTCGCAGGAGAGCTACGTAAAATATGCTAACATCATGGCATCCGTCTTTCAGTCTATCTTTTCTAAAAAGACAGACGAGGCGGTAAACCGTTTAGAGATTAGACTCCATGACGTTTCATCAAATTTTGTGCTGAACTGCGCCACCGCTTGATATGGCATCGAATAAGACATTTAAATGTGTCTGATTTTGTTTATGCAATATTTAATTTTCTTCTGTCTTTCACCGACAGAAATATACTGCACAACACGACTATGCCTATTGCCAGGTAAAACGCAATGTCGTGGATGGCACAGAGCGTCTATAGATACCTGCCGACTATTTGACACCAGTCAACATATTCGAACGGGCTGGTTTCTTCCAGAACTGAAAAAAAAACAATATGATTTGCCATTCGTACGTCTATTAGCGTCGTCTATTAGGTGGAGTAAACATAAGAGCCAACAATCACATTTGCGAGAAATCAAGTCATCCCTATCAGGGGATAGTACAAGCAAAATACTCTCTGACTGCTCAACCCATCTCACCTTTTCTAAAAAGTCTTTCATTGGCCAAAGATGGATAAAAATACAACATCTAGGCCTAAAGAGGGAGTTCTTGACCAAACCACCCCTATCGGACGGACTCAGCTCAGAGAGAACATCGATTAAGGTCACAAAGGCCGACTCGCACTCCACAACTTAAATGGTGGCTTAGGGTATCGGGTTAGGTCATACAGTGCCTTATTGTCAGCTTTCTATGTGGGAATTTATGATGCTTAAGTAGTCTTCATCAACCCTTTTCTTACAACCACTAATGTCTGTGAAAGAATGATAAAATAGACTTGCAACAGTCGGATTAAGATAAAGGCTTTCTCAGAAATGACGAAAGGAATTTAGGCTTTCTGTCAAACTCTGGAAAACACTTTCATACAATTAAAAAGGTAACCCGGGGTAATTTGAAAGGCCTGAATCGAATTGATGGCAGAATCATAACCATAAATACCCATTATACTGCGCCATATTATCACCATCACGAAGCATGCATAATAGTCACTACCCGGTCAGGTCAGTCACCATTAAGGCCAGGTCAGCTTTTCGGCTTTATAGAACCGAAAGGAATTCGTTTTCCTTTGAAATGGCTCGTACACTTTCAAAAAAGTCTCAATTTATAAAGAGTCCTGAGTCTACTGCATGACTAGGGCCGTGTGAAGATAACGGCAGAGCGTCAGTTGTGTATTTCGACGATGTACGTTTTATTAAGATACAGTGTAACGTAGCAATAGGTCATGTTGTAGAGGCAGGCTGTCCTCAACGAATCGTGCAACACAAATTGGTTAGTCATAGCAGTAAGGATAGGGCCTATAGATAACATGAACAAAGACTAGCGCGTAAATTCAAGCCACAGCTAACTAATTCGGACACGGATTGATACACTATTTAGTCACAAAAACTTGGCCTGTTTCAAAATTTCCCCTCAACGTCTTCAAGGACACATGCTACAGGAACGCTAATGTGGGATCAAGTAGTCTTGGACAGTGTAGTAGGCACACGATCTAATGTACAAACCTCGTTCCGGAAAGCTCCTTATCTTGCAACAGAGCTGAGATTTGAACTTTTCGACTTTTTAAGCCTATATATTCGACTGTCTTTGTTACATTATTATCCACTTCTTGTTAACGATTTAAAGGCCTTCTCATTTTGGGTCAGGTAAAATGAATGAATATGGACCATTATATTGAAGATCATGATTTGATCAGAGATTACAGTCAATAAAAGACGTGTTCATCTCTGAGTTTTGCCAACTGAGCATCCAATTACAAATTACTTCAGGTCGAGACAGACAAGGCGGTAAATCGTTGGAGATTATACCCCATGATGTTTCATCGGAATCAGTTTAACTTTGCGGTTAACTGAGCTACCGCTTGATATGACATCCAATAAGACCTTTCAAATGCGTATTGCAAATATGTTAATGCAATATTTAATTTTCTTACATTTCACTGACAGAAAGATACTGAACAACATGAGCTGTGCCTATTGCCGGGTGAAACGCAATGTCATGGATGGCATGGCACAGAGCGTTTACAAATACATGTACCTGCCGACTGTTTGAAGGCCCGTTAACATTTAGACTAGCGATATTCATTCGAACGAGCTGGTCTGGTCGAGAACTAAACCACCATGATATGCCGACTCACCCCTACGTCTGTTAGTGGTGGAGCAAACATAACGGACAACAATGACATTTACGAGAAGTCCAGTCTTCCCTACCCGGGAATAATTCGCGCCAAATACCCCCGGCTGCTCAACCCAATCTATACATGTTTGGTCTAAGAACGTCCCTGGCGGGATTGTTGATATCACAGGCGTACCATTAATGCTTTCTAATCAAGCACTGTCGAGAGTTGTGACGTTTACTGAGAATTCTATTGATTTTTGAAGATCCTGCATGTTGTAAATAACTTCGTAATCCTGATAAGGAACGAAACAGATTGAGGAAAAAAACCAAGCGCATTAAATGCCCAAAGTTCCACTGACGTTTCTATGAGAGAAATTACGCGCATAATAATAGGATTTCAAGTGATCCATGGCCACTTCACATATTAAAGCCGCACTTTGTGGTCAGTGACATATCGTCTTTGAAGTAAAAACAACTGCGTTATTACGCCCTTAATGTCTCTGATGCATAAGAAAAGTGCAGGCCAGAAAGTACCCAGTGATAGATGACGGCATTATAAAGCAGGAAGTCAATTCATTGCGAGTAACAATACGACATTACACTCTGTCAGCTCTTTCAAAAACGTGATTTGCTCAGAGCAAAGTGACAGTCTCAACTTTCCAAGTTCGTTCGACTGTACGGCGTTGACCGGCAAAGAATATTTTCTACGATTTCATGAATATGGCGGATGCGAACGGCTCCGCGTCCGCTACTTACGATCTTCTGAAGAAGCTCGAGGTGACTCGATGGTCCGAGTTCACTCTATGGTTGGTAGTTTTTGTCGTCGGTGTCCCGGGGAATCTGCTCATTTTAGCTGTTTACCTGGCGAGAAGACTCCGTACCACGACCCATATCTTCATCGCTTCCCTCGCCTTGGCTGACTTGTTGGAATGCCTCTTGAAATTCGTAGACGCTCTAGCCCTGGCATCGGCGGCGCAGTTTCTCAGTTTTGATCGCCAGAGTGCCGTCCATTTTCTCGGCACGGGAGTACTATACACTACGGCTTTTCTGACTGCTGCCATCGCGTTCGATCGCTTCGATGCTGTCTGCCGCTCCCTTCGCCGCACTATGACGCTCACGAGAGCCAAGGTGATAGTTATTTCTTGTTTCTTGGCAGGCTTTATAGCTATCCTTCCTGAGGTGGGCCAGAAAATATATGCTAACCTCTATACAGAAACTGAACAGTTTCCTTTTCTTCAGTCGGTGGCGCAATCTTTCCCGGCAATCTTGTACATCGTGTGTCTAATTATAGTAGCAATGTCTTACGGCGCCATTTTTGTCTTCATACGTAAACGTGGAAGAAGATTGGCCGCCGGTGAAAGGCCACATCAAGGAGCAAACATCATTAGCGGGAGATGCCAAGACAATAATCAGCCAGTTTTCCCTCAAAGCCCAAGATCGCCTGGAACTCCAATTGGTGGCTGTACCTCCCATCAGCCACACCAGTCGATACCTATTGTACCATCTAGCAGTCCACAGCATTTGGTAGTACTTGGCAGCCATCAGAGTATTCCATTCGTTGGTGCAGCGCGGAGTCAATCCCAGACAGACAAGGCGGCCAACAGTAAACTTACCAATCAACTATTTACTGTAACCAGTAGTAGGCTACCGCGTCCAGCAGGTGAAGAGGAGACACCTGCCGGCTGCAGTTGGGAGCTTGTGTCATCAGAGCATCTGCCAGCAACTCCACTTGGCGCTGTTCAGTCCAGTCCACTTGAAACTCACCAGCCTTCTGCGGATATCAGCAGGCTTGGACGTCATTCTGCGATTCAACTGGCACCCGTGCTTAGCAACACAAGAGTCAGTCCCACATGGGAAATGTTGCAGCCTCCTACACATTCAAGCAGAGACAGCGATGGCATCTCCCCATCATCCACGGAAAGATTTCGAGACGGCAACCAAGGACTGAGACGCCGGCAGGCTGCTACTCAGTCCCGCATCACGAAGATGCTCTTCATCGCTACATTTATCTTCTTCATTCTCTGGTTCCCCTGGGTTTACCTAAGGTTCTACGCACTGGGAAGTCTCCAGAAGGACTTCAAGAAGTCTTCCCACCATGCCAACTTGGTGGCTGCTTTGATAGTCCTGAAAGACATCGCTTATCTCAACAGCGTGATCAACGCCTTCATCTATGGAATGGCTAACAAGCGTTTCCGCGCAGAATGCAAACAACTTCTGCAGAATGTCCGTCAACGATTTTCTTAACCACATCATGCCTGCAATTATCGCTCATCAAAACTCAAAACAAGGTCACGGTTCAATACTTTAAAAATCCGGATAACTGATCATTTGATCTGACAATTTTCGACTATGCTTTGAATCTAAATCTACTGGTGTGCCACAGTGTGTGATGTATACGTTCAGCTTTGCATAGAATGGTATAGTACTTTGACGGACTGTTTATTGAATTAAAAAAAAAATGGCAAGATAAAATTTACTCTCCTCAAGAGGAACAAGTGGTTACACCATGAGTTGTGGGTTCTACACGGGCACACTTATAATCAAGAAATTTCTCGTCGTTTTACGTGTATTTTAATCTAATAGTACTAATCAAAAGCTCACACTGGAGTAACTTATTACACATGACGTAAAAATTTCACCATGCATGTTTAAGCACTGGTAGGACTTTGCACCAATACAACACTTTATTGACACTTCGAGAGTTGACTTTACTTCAGATTGAAGATCACGCACTGGTATGTCAACAAAGTGCTAACAAACATGCTAATAAAAACCACCCTGTCAAAGCTTCACCAACATCACAATTCATCGAAATATTTGAGAGTTTGCACGCTTGTTTTAGTGTGGTGTATATTTTCCTGGTGATAAAAGAGTGCAGGATTTGACACAGATTCATTAATTAGTGTGAACGAATCCATTTCCGAAAAGTTCCAACCCAGCTCACCGACAAAGGTAGGAACCGTATTAAAGTTTCTCTGCACGACAGAATTTTCAGTAATTTTCTTTATCACTATAACATCCGAAGTTTTTACTTGGCTAACTGACCATGTCATAATTATGTAAGTGCACACTCGGACTAACGTATTATCAATCTTCAAAGCACATTCATAAGGAAACTGTTCTTCATTATTAAAAAAAGAATTTAGTTCACTGTAATACCCTTATGTCGAAACGCATTTTAGAAGCCCTGTTATTTTCGTTTTTAGGTATACTGCTTTGAAATCATTTCAACTGATACATTTCTCATTGCAACATATAAGTTGTCTCTCCTATTTGCTATAGTTTGGTCGTTTGTTGTGCTAGGATTTTAGCATGGTAGCTGGTTTGTACGGAGAGATATATGTTTGCTCCGTTGACTTACTGAGCCGGGTCTTTAGATACCACGGTATACAAAGGAAACTCTTAGTTTCGAAGAAGTTAACATCATCTGAAGGACTTTGTAACTAGAGATTGACAAATGGCAAAGACAGATCAAAATTGCCAAAGTGTGACAAAGGCTTGGCAACCATCTCCTAGGTCACACAAAATGGTCGATGACTTATCCTCTAAGCTGATCCGGAAGGAAGCGCGTCTTATCGCCCCCTTCTAATGTCCGAGCCAAAATCTCCATTCCACCATCACCCATTAAGATGGCTTAAGTTGCTTCTCTCACGAACACCAATCCGAATAGGACTGTATATCTACCGTTACTCCATTCATTCCAATTTGTACAACTGTACCTTCATGTAATTTTATAACTAGCGAATAACTAGCAAAAAAATTGGTAGGCCTACTGAAAAATGAAATTCAGAGGTATATAGCTGTCGGCTGAAAACCAGGAGAGAATCCTATAAACATCTAAAATGATGTTTTAAAGACAAAACTTGGGGATTGTAGTATTTGATGTGGTATCTCGTCAAGCTTTAAAATGTTAGCTCCCACGGCGATTTGGTTTCACATTAGCCATACAGACAAATCGAGAAAAGCAGGCGGAAACAAATAAACAGTACCCTCAAACAAAACCGACAACCTAGAACAAAATAATCACAGGTTGGATTCCTATAATAAACAGCACAATTTGAGTATGCTTCTATTGCTAACGAGTAAACCGCGCCATTGTGACTGGGTAATTTTGAAATCACATGACACTGTGCGCAACACCAATGCATACACTTGCTTGCTTGAGCATTTGTAATTTTCCACTCCAATGTCAATGCTCCTGTCTAGAAATGGCAAGATAAACACCACAGTGGAAATTTCCGTTAATACAGCACTTGACACTGATAACGAAGACAAAGGTTGGGCCTGTGTCAATAACAGACCTACACCGCAGCTAAAATGGTTGGCAAAAGCTCCGAAGGAACGAATGTTTAAAAATTAGTATTGTACGGATGGACTACAGGAACCCTAACATTCTAATCGAGGACATCTGAGGCTGGAGCCATCGAAGAGTAAAACCACGGACAAGACAATTGAGAAGGAAATAAATAGTGATCCTTCTTTCGTATGATTGCTTTGTAAAACCCTAAACTCACGACGTGAGCTTTGAGATGGTCTCTTCTTCGACGCTCTGCATGACGCTGAGCCCACTGGAATAGCTGGATACTCAGCCTCTTTCAGTGGAAACTCAAATAAAATTCCAAACCATTCCAGTGAGAAAATGTCCCTTGAATCCAGCATGTCCTAAATTTTCGTTGGACGGGTGAATTTTCATTCGGAGTATTGAACTTCCGCTCTTTGGAATTTCGAGAGTAGCCGCATTTGTCTGTTAAATTTCAGCCGAGTTTGAAGATGAAATCAGCTGCGTTTATCGCACTGACCGCTGCCAGTTGCTTGGCCACTGCAGCTTTCGCCTCGTCATCGATGAAGGTCGAGGATCACACAGCAATGGGGGACTGGGACACTCTCTACCCAAGATACCCAGCCTGCCGTAGAGGGCGCGAGTTTGCTATCGTGGTACCCGAAACTGAGCGCGTGACTGGACAGATGTACTATGAACGTGTGAAGTCAGATGGGAAGGTCAAGTAAGTATTGAAAATTTCGTAGGGTATATTGTTTAACGATATAAAACAATATAAACAAACAAGATTCAGAAAAGCAAATAGCCGGGTCGGAGAGGCGATAAAGTACTGTCGAACCCAACCTCGCATCACAGCAATTGCTGGGTTACACTGTGCAACGTTTGTTTACAGTGGAATTCGCTTAGTCGACAGCTAACAAAGGGTAAGTTAACTATTGACCACGCCTATACCAGTTAAGTTACACGTGCCTTGCAAACTGAGATGTACAAAATTCAGCGAAACCTACCTGAGTATTTAAATAAGGAACGGTAATACGTTCAGCAATTGTAGGTTAAAAATGTATTGTTCAACCTACAGTTGCTGAATGTATTCTTTTGTCTTACCGTAGGTATTACTTCTGTGCATCCTGCTCTGTCTGCGCAAACTATGGTTTGGCAACAGCCTCGCCGTGTGCCGAACGTACAAACACAGAATGTTCTCTAGACTGTCTGGTGCCTGGTTGCGTCTTTGATGAAGCCAGCGCTTACTGCAGACTTTCTTCGACTTTTGACACAAGGCGGGATGTCCACGCTGCTGAAAGTAGCCCAGGGTCCTGTGGTATATCACCAAAGTTGTCAGATCTGGCAGCTGGGAGCAACCAGCTCCCTGTGCCGTCTGATGGGAGAGAGGCCGTCAGTACTGAGCAAGGTGATACAACATCCATTATTTACAATCAATGCGGGCTTTTCATAATAGTGCGCCTCCAAGAGTTGGCAAGGCGTTAACCGATCACAGTGCGCGAAATCTGTCAACCCAATGCGCGTTTAGAAAGGGTTTCGCGCACCGTGATTGATCAACATGTTGCAAACTCTTGGAGACACACCACTGTGAATTGTTTGTATTAGTGTGAAGGTTAAAAAACGCGCTCTTATTCACATAAAATGCATTGTAACTTTGGTACTGCGACACTACGAATATTTTAAAGCTATCATACTTCACTCAACTGTTTCGTATCTTCTGTGCAACACAGTTCGACTGACCCATGCCGAGACTATCGAGAGTACCCAGGGTCCTGAAACAGCGTACCAGAAGCTTCACACTTCTAGTAATGGTGAGAAATCTGCGATTCGGAAATCAGTTTCCTTTCTCAAATGCTGGCCATCTTAAAGTTGTTTTATATCATTAAGAACAGAAGTCCCCACACTAAATATTAGTTTTACAACATTATCATTCCTAATAAGTAATCAAACTAAACGGATCTGCTCGGCACATATGAGCCAATAATTGAGCCTATTGTGAGTGGTGAGGGAAAAAAATCACAGACGCCCTTTTCCAGACATGATGTCCAAACATCCTGGTTTTAAGGGCCATTTTCATCATAGGGCCTCCTCTTTCTTTGTAATAAATATAAATAAATGACTAAATGAATAATAAATAAACCGAAAAACCCAATAAAAAATTCATGAACATTAAGTTCTTTCAAGTTCTGCTTTGTGACCTCAAAACAATAAAATTGGCACTTTTCTTTTCTCCATAAAATTACCTCAGAAGGTGCAGCATCACTACCACTTGGAAGATCAGAAAAGTCACAAAGCACCCCGAGACCGGTCTTCACCTGGACTGCGAGCGAAGCGCTCTTTGTTGGAATGGGCATCGTGACTGCTGTGCTGGTTCTCAACATGGCGACCTTCATGTACATTTTTAACAAGAAGAGGCAGAACAAGCGACAGAAACGTGAAGCCACGAAGTCAACTAAAGTCTTATATAGTGCTCTGGCCAGAGCCCGCACAGATAGTAACGTGACAAAGGAGAGCAGTTGCGTTTCTGTTTAAACCCACTTCCAGTCGCTTCGGCACTTTTTTGCCGATGTCGTGAAACACTGTTCAGGGTACAGACGGAATGACTGACAGGAGTTGATAGCACAAGGGTGGTTTATTATATCAAATCATAGAGCAGGACCTGGATGTAGTAACTCAGTGGATTCAAAGAGTGACAACATAGGATTTCAAATTAGTGTAAGGTTAGATAAGACTTGCAGCTAAGCATGGTAGAAGCACTGAATTAGGTAGGCTTGCGGTTGCACGTACAAGGAAGAATCTCTTTTATGAGTGTGTGGTTCTGAGAAGAACCGATGGTGGACATCAACGTTCCAAACAGTATGCTCTGTTCGTCTTCAGGAGGGTGTAAGTGTAAGGCTGTCGCCTATAACTTGAATTCAGCCGATGCGTTACATTACAGGCGTGGGCTACAAAGGTACTCAGAATTTCCATAAACTTGGCTTCCGAAGGAAAACCATTACTTTAAAATGCACCGTAACCCCATCTTGGTATCATCTTTTTGAGCTTTGAATCTCTGCTACATATACAGAGAGAGCAATTCTTTGTTCTGGAAGGATGAGTTCTCTTCCAACAGCGGACTAGTGCAGACGCAGAAAGTTGCAGAAGATGTTTTTTTCTCCAGGCCAAAAGGATTTTGTGCACTGAGTACCAAAGTGTGACGTCACTGTTAACCAGAAAGTGCTGTGCAAACGAATGGAGTACGCGCGTGTGTTGGTTCACGCGCTGGTTCTCGCCCTAATGCCCTTAACACACTAATTGTGTGCGTGACGTATTCACTTCGGTACTCTATAGAACTTGGAATTTGATATTATATATACATGTATAACTTATTCTTCGTATACAAGAATTTTTCTTTAAAAGCATCCATAATTTAATTACATGACATATTGCACAATCAACTACGCCGCTTAGTTTTCATTATCGGGCCCATCTTAAGCAAAGGGGATACCCTGGATTTTGTACATAGAATTTTATATAGTGTACATATAACTTATTATTCGTATACAAGAATTTTTCTTTAAAAGCACCCATAATTTAATTACATGACATATTGCACAATCAACTACGCCACTAAGTTTTCATTAGCGGACCCATCTTAAGCAAAGGGGATACCCTGGATTTTGTACATAGAACTTTATATAGTGTACATATAACTTATTATTCGTATGCAAGAATTTTTGTTTAAAAGCACTCATAATTTAATTACACGTGTTTATAATCCACGTCGACCAAATACAGCCCAATAGTGTCAAGTATGTTACCTTCACATGAAAAATTACATACATTTTCTTGGATCAACCCTTTTACTGATTTTCTTTTATTTATTTCAGAAATAGAAGTATGCAGCAGAGATTCTTGTATTTACAGATTTAGAATATTTGTTAAAACAATTAAAGGAAATATGAATTATCTAAAACAATACCGAGTGTGAACTGTTGAAGTTACAAAATGAGTCACAAAAATGATAATGATAATAATAAACCCGACGTTTGCATTTAAATCACTTTCGATTAATTAATTCAGATCTGAATATGTTAATTATTGGGACTTTGCTTCCAAAAAGCATATTGGTACTGTCCATAACAGCCTGCGGTAATCAATAAGTCGTTATGGGAGAAGCTGACAAAATGCAAAACAGCTCTTCATTAAATTAGTCGTGATAATGATAGTGATTAATTGCTTGAATATCTTCATGCAAATGAGTACTTCACCGAGTACTAAACTTTGAAAGAAAAGAGCCTATGCACTGCACTAAAATGTTAAGATATGCTTTAAACTACTTGAAATTTATCAGTGGGAAGATAAAATGGCATGGAAAAGAAAAAGACTCGATTTTGATTTTGTATTTAAAGGAAGTTTGGCTAACTGGTAAATAGCTTCAAAAGAGAGGGGAGAAGCTACAACCTTCTGGAACGGTGGTGGACAAAGGCTCCATCTCTTGTACCACCGCCTATTGCGTTCTAATACACGACACACATAAAAAGTCACCCCTGCAGCTATTGAACAGATGAAGTTTTTTATTAGTTAAAAAACAATGTTTAAATTTCCATAACAAATGAACTTAGGAAGTGAGCAACAATTAACAACAAATGCAATCTGGAGATTCCTTTTGACTTAAAAATATACACCAGACCTTAAAAATAAAGAGTCTTGATCCATACCCATCCAAACCAAGTCCCAGTTGCTGGGAACATCTAAAATAAAATTTGCCGAAGCCATGCACTACATAACAAAGCTTAAAACAACCTTAATACTACCTATTATATCGGCAAGATTCATGTGTACAGACATATATTGCACGATCAAAAAAGTCTGTGCCACATAGTTTTCATTATCGGACCCGTCTTAAGCAAAGGGGATACCCTGTTCTTGCCGATGATCTGTACTCTAACGGCTAGTTAACCTTAAACCTGGGCCAAGTATTCCACATTGTTTAAAACATCAACCTTAACAACTACTTCCATAATATTTTCTGTTATATAACTTTTTGGTATGTTTGTACATACCAGAACGAAGCTTGGGAAGGAACTCAAGGAAAAACTGAGCGTTTTCATGTTCTGATGGCAAAACAGCCAGCTCATTTTCCTCCGTTAGTGTTTTTGCTCAGCTCTGCGACGGGATAACGATCAGAATTGTCCTTGGCAAAGAGTATTTCCTGATTCAGACTTGAAGTTCATCCTTTGAATCCCATGCAGAATACAGTTTGTACACACTTTCGGAAGTTTCACAAGTATCTGACAAAAAAAAGTAATGAAATCAACAGAACTCCAAAGAAGTCCATAAACAAGACCGCCGAACCAAGTTGTGTCTCCGTTTCCAGTCGTTCTTGCGTGCCTTTGCTTCTGAATTGCTAGGCTCTCCAAGCCCTGGTATTAATGTCACGCTGACTGGAAAGATCCTTGCCCCACTTCTGTCTTTCTTCTTTTCTTGTCTTTTGATGACAGTCTTGTACTTAATGGCTCCATTCTGTCAACAACAAACTCAGCATTCCCCCTCAGTTGTGACTCTTTCATACCCTTTTCCAATTCCTTGAGAGCTGACTCCGACATGGTACTGTCGCGACCCACGCAACCTGAAATGTGTAAGCTCTTAAGATTATTAAGGTACACCAGGCTGGTCGTGAGAAACTTAGCGAACGAGTCAGATGGCTGACTGTGAAGAAGATAAAAGGTTGTCAATCTTCCCAAAGTCAATCCCTCCTCCTTCACTGCCACTGCAACTTCTGAGAACCCTTTAGGAGTAACCTTGAAAAGAGACAACCTCAGGTCGATTAGTGATTTCCACTGTGGCAGTGAAAACATCACGGTAGTGAATGCAGCGTCATCAAATTCTTTATTAAGACGAAGATCCAATCTTTTTAACTTTGGAAGGTTACGTAATGCATGGTTGGCTAAACTGCAAATTTCACCGGGATTTAAGATTGAACCAACAAGTACGACGCTGTCCAGCAATGTCAGATGGGAAAGGGAAAGAACAAAACTTTGCGACGAACTTGACATTTGACAATTGCCAGACTGTGACTCCCGAAGATCTTCAAGTGCAATAGACTCCAAGGTCAGGACAGCACTATCCCTTTCTGACTGACGATGGAGGAACATCTGGTCTTTGGAGGTTCTGGATGTTATTTCCTTTTTCAGGTGCTGCTTTGGGTTATGCAGACGTTTGCATGTTGTACTTTTGATGGAGCCTGGAACAAACTCCTCCAGGTATTCCTGAATTTCTTCCCAATCATGTTGCTCAAACCGGAACAGCTCAATTGACTTCAGATTCAAGTTACAGTCTGTGCTCGGTCCCTCTGCATGTTCTAGAAGGTATGACAAAAGCCTCAACCTATGTCTGGAGATTCCAAACAAACGCAACCTTCCTTCAGGAAACATTGACCTGAGATCCTTGTTCAAAGAACATTTGCATTTGCCTTCGAAATTCACTTGCAGACACAAATCAATCACCTTCTGCACCTCCAATTCACTTGCAATATTTTGGACTCGGTTCATTGATTCTGAGACACGCTCCACTAGAAACTCAATCACCTCAGAACGACACGCGACACTGCGCTGACTAGCAAAGACTAGAATGTTGGCCAACTTATCGACATCAGCCTTTCTGGCTGATTCCAACAGCTTGCCCTTTTCTGCACTTGACAAGTAGCTACCAGCGCAAAACTCCCCCAGGATTTCTGGGATAAAGTGAACATTTTCATTTGTGCGTGCCAAAGGAACTAGTTCACTGACCTCAGTTTCTGTATTCGGCTTATCCACAAGTCCTCGGAAACTAATGTGAGATTTCGAGCCTGTCTCCGCCAAGGGAATCTTTTCGGTTTCGCCGGACCGGATTATCTCCTGAGTCCGACAGATCAGTCCACTCTTTAGGCAATTTTCGATGAATGTTTGGGCACTTCTGGAAATCTCTCGAAAACTTGATTCTGAAAAAGAAAAAGGATCTCCGGAACCCTCACAGACCTTGTCGAAGATCACTCTACCAAGTTCTGCAACCATGCCAAGTTGTTCCTTGGTTAACATGCTCCTGAAATTTTTTTTCCGTTTTTCCATGTTAGAATCAAACAAGCAGCGTACTAACCTGGTCAACAAATCAGTCATCGTCGGCTTATCTCTAAAAGCTTCATCGTTTGTCCAACTGGACAAAAGACACAAAACACGGATAACGACTGGCAGACGGGACAATTTTGGAGGGAGAACATCTTTGTCCAAATAATCGAGGAGGTTATCGTGTACTTTGGAGCCAAGTAACTTCTCAACGTACCTATTCAGGTGACCGGATAAATTGAATCCATTGGTCAACACGTGGCGAAAATTATACTTTTTACACACATCTTCTGCTTCTTGTGCTTGTCTTATTGTCATCACAACTTGGCACTCAAGAAGACCTTGTTCTTTCAAGACCTCCCACGCGCCTGTAACATCATCTTTGCCAGAGCAGCCATCGACGAGAATGACCACATTACTTAAGTGTTCAACACAATACTCGTTGACATTTTCTGATGAAAATTGTGTTTTGCTTGACAGCATGCACTTCTTTACTGCCTCACCGACATTCCTCGTTTCAAGGAGGACTTGCACTGGCAACAGAAAGACTATTTTTGTCTTCTGGAAGACAGATTCGGATTTCTCACAAGCCCAGTCATAAGCCATTTTATACAAGATGAAAGTCTTGCCGCTCCCCGCTCTTCCCTGCAAAAGGACATTACTAGACGGCATTGAGATGCCATCCTCAAAGATTTCATTCGTTGAGTGTATTCTGTATTTTACTGACCTACCATCTACATACATAATGGCAAGTAGCTCACTCGATGAATACACATCTTCTACCCAAGCGCAGCATCCATCGTCCTCCGTGAGCCACGGTATAGTAGGAAGACCGAGTAAGGTTGTCCTTAAGAACTCTTTGCACTCTTCTACAATCCCTCTTGATTTTAACTTCGTACCTATCGTATAGCAGTATGTTCAACAAAAAGGAAGCTTAAACTAAACAATGCTCATTAATTTCCATATAGAATGCATCCACATTCTGGGCATCAGCTACCATGTGCCAAGCATGCTCACTGTAACCAAGCAACGATATCTCATAAATAAATGATTTACTGAAAACACCTCACGATGAGTGCTTAATTTCAACTGGGTTGACTAACGACACGTACCTTCAATTGCTGAGTAGCCGTCCTGATGGCCATTCGACCTGTGTTTGCGGTACTTGAATATCAGAAAGGCAATCACAGCAATGATAACGAAGACGGCAGAAACTATCACAGAGGTGAGCCAGGCTCTATCTGTGTAATGAAAATGATTTTAGTGGGAATACTGCTATCACAGGCACAAAGTTTAAACGCTCGTGTTATTTCAATGAATCAACTGAAGTGCAAGAATCTTGAGGTCAACCCTTTCAGTGACTGTCCACTTACCCTGAGTCAAAACATCTATGTAAGACTGCCACAACTCATTGTTGGCAAAAACATGACACCAATATCTGACGTCACCGTTTTGGGGGCAATCATCCAAATGAAGGGAACCCTCAGAGGAAATGCTGACGCAGATTTTTCCAAGCTCTGATACGGTACTATTTCCATCGACGATATCGATTCTACCAATCACAGTGACACTGTTTGCATCTCGAGCACCAAAAGACCAGAGGAGAGTTGCTTTGCTCATAGCAGTGACATTCAACCCAGTAGGACACCTTAGTATTTGCACTTTGCCGGGTTCATAGGTAACGGACGTACCTCGGACACTTGGTTTACTACCTAAAGGAAATTGTTCACCTAACACAAGAGAAGAGAGAACACATGTTATAGAGTTACTAAAGAGAGAACATTGGTCATTTACGTGTACCATATAACAGCAAGATCATTCCCCTGTCGAAATAAAACCACGTTTGTACATGCGTGATGGTGTAAGTCTTGAATAGCGTACCAAACACATGACAGTCAAGCAGATCATCAAAGCTGGAATTGATGTAACCAGGGTGGCAACTGTACCGTCCAGCATGCGAGAAGTTCACCGATGTAAATGACAGGCCATAGTCATCGCTGAGATCAAACCCACTCACAGCACTGACGGCATTTGTCGACACCGAGTAGTTCAGGACAAGTCTTCGACCTGAAAGGTCAACTTTATACCACTGCAGTAAACAGAATTCATCACCAGGTGCCCATGTCGTACACGGGATTGTCTGGTATCTTCCCTCACGAAGGTAGAAAGATGTTGCAGAGGCTCGGAGTGCTTGGTTGGTTTGACTTCCAACTGAACAAAAATGAAACGCAACCCCTCACTCGATCAGGATGAAACGATACGCTTTCTCTTACATAAATAAGTGTGGTACGGTATCTCTATCTGCAACAATGGTTTTACCACGTCCATAATTAAAGAAGCTAAAGTTCATTAGTCGCGTTTTTTAATCAGTTCAGACTACAATCAACTTTGTGAACATTAGTCGTGCAAATATTCATAAAACGCTGTTCCATTTTTGTATTAAAAGATGTGCCAAAGAGAATGTAAAAACCATTAAGTACTCACCTGCAACATGTACCTCTATGTAACAATTTTGCCGTGTACCGTTCAACAGAAACACGTGACACCAATATCTCCCTGTGTTATTTCCACTGACAGAGTTGACTGTTAGAGAAAAATTTCTGGATATTGAATAATCTGCGCCGTGACGGACCTGAAGGAATGTACCATCGGAGAAACGTGCCGCAATGATATCTGTGTCAGCAGTGACACCCTCTCCAACTGACCAATATACTACGGACACTTGTGCGTCTGATGGCGCGCAGTGACACGTAAGGGTCTGCCTGCGTCCTCGCTGGACGCTGACAATCGTCGAGGCTTCACTCGGTCTGGCTGGAAACGTGTTACCTGCGATAAGCATCAAATAATTTTAATAATAATTCAAATAAGTTATTAACGTCACTCTAGATCGTTCAAGAAGATTAATAAAATTACAATTCCCACTACACGTGACTGATAAATCGATACAAGGATCGCACGCTGGCGGGATTGTAATCAGCTGAATTACTTTGTCCTCATATTTCAGATATATAATCCCTCGATGAATTTTTCATATATTGAAAAATAGCATGACTTGTTAGCCAACAAAGGATTAAAAGCACGTCTATGTAAAATGTTTAATAAACTCTTTTCCTTGACAAATTTCTTACCAATAACCTGCACATCAATCTTTCCAACCCTGTCAATCACGTGACGCGGTGCAACCTTACACAAATATCCGCCTTCATCACTGTCTTTGACATCTTTAACCACGAGGCTGAACTCGGACGAAAATGTGTATCTTTTGCTAGCGTAAACGTATCGGTTGCTTGAGAAGCTGGCTACAAGTATTTTATTGGGGTCTTCAATGCTTGATCCCCGGAACCAAAATACACCGAGAAGTTCCTCTCCGGAAAGAAATGACTGACAGGGAACACGGTGCCATATCCCACGCTGAAAGTAGCCTTGCTTGTTGGCAACACCAAAGATGTTCTGCATATTCGTATCTGCAGGATCCAACGGTATACTCTTAAAACCTATTCTATAAGTTTGATATAGAATACTAAAGTGTGATTGTAAATGCAGTACAAACGAATGGAGTACGCGTGCGTTGATGGATCACGCGCTGGTTCTCGCGCTAATGCCTTTTAAACACAAGACTGGGTGTGTGACGTAGTCACTTCGGTACTGTATTATGCTATTGAAACTTCAGACGCGTCATAAGAAAGAAAGTAATGTGTGTTGGTGATTTCAGTGAAATTGGTAAGGATAATTTTATATTCTATATGGCTGTTCAATGTGACTGACTTTTCCTGAAATACATGTATCGTTGATGAATGTTCTCTCGTAACTGCTACTGATTTGTTTTAAGGTAGATCCTCAAAGCTGACCATGAATTCGTTCACCAACCTGAACCTGATGGACATAGTTTACTCTCTTCGGTACGCAACAAGAATACAAGAAGCAGAAAAGTCACAAACATGTCCATGAAGGCCATCGAATGACGTACAAGCCTGTTTGTGGAAAGGTAAACCAAATCCACAATATAACGAATGAGAAAATGCCAGATACATTTTTCAGGTTTAGCACAATCCTTTACAAGACTTTTTGACCAGAATTTTTCCTAAATATATATATATGGGTGGACTGTATTCCCCATAACAGCTTTAATCTTAGGATTCTACCAGTCTGAGTCAATACACTTGATTTCCCAGTTAAGAAATAAAGCACTCTACAAAAAATGCACGCGAATATACCCGCATTAATGTGCACAATGATATCATTCTCCAACGTGGCGTCAACCCTTCACCTATATATAAGCGAAAAATGACACAGGGTATACAATCGCAAAGTGCGCATCTAATTATTTGTGGCCACAAAGAAGGCCACATAGACAATATGCATCATATTTTTAGATTGAACAGAATGATCATAGATTACTTGAATGCTCACCAGTTTTTGAGGAGTGAAATACTCTCCCGTACCAAATGTTACCCAGACTATTCCAAAACAACAAGATGGCATTATTACCCACGTATTATTAACTGCGCATGTCCCATTTTTAGGGTCATTTGCATGCGTAATGAGAGCCATGGGAATTCAAGCCAGGCGTGAAAGGTGTGAATGTTTTAAATTTGCTGAAGGTTTTCCACTAGATTTTTTTTCTTCCCGACCGGACGCATTTGCATATCGACCTAACTCAGGACCGATTCTGTTCATCCCACATAATCCTACGGCCTTGTGAGCTTAAGAATTCAGTGACTCAGGAACGAAAGACGTCAACATAAAAGTACAGTAATTTCGCATGCATGAAGTTGATTACTGAAACCGAGGTCTATCTGTCATTATAAAATGGCCAGGAAAGTGTTGAATTGAACGTATGTGTGACACTCGGAAGTGCTCAAATAAACCAAGTAGCAAGAGCAGAGGTTTACATGGACGTCATCTTGTAAACGCATTTAAATCATAACTACTTGCGTCTAAAATATCAAAATCGCTGAAATAAAATTAAGAAAGCATAACATTCTGAATTAAACGCTTTGGAAGGCTTATCACTGAAAATTAGGTAAATTCGACATTGAGATATATCGCAAACGTCATAATTATTTGCAAACCACACTAGTACACATTTTCTAGCACAACAAAATCACCAAAATACGGATTTTTCTCACATCAATTAATAGTACAGGAACACTTGATGTGAAAAGGGGAGGTAACAGGGACAAAAAATAGTTATATTTTTGTAAATTAAGAGAAAATAAGTAAATGTATTTCCATGAGAAGCAGAGAGATGAATAAACATGTTACCGTCTCTGCGGTGAATGAATTAATTAGTGAAGCCGGTGGTGGCGCTAGACTGGTGATTACGTAATGGATACAATATACAGTGTAGTGATTTCACAGTGCCTTTTTTTTTACAAATAAAACACGTTAATTTTCACATCTGCCACCTATATATCCCCGGTTTTACATGTACCCTATACGCATGAACCACATAAACTTGTAGGCCTACACCGGCTCCGTCGAGAACTTCCATGCACCTGGATGCACCTACAGCACTTGTACAGTGTACATCTACGCCCCGGAACGCGTGCAACATGCCGCAGTGTCTATGTACCGTGCACGGTACGTGGCTGGATCGGTTTGTGCATGTAAAACATGTATAGGCCTAGATCATATCGCGCTGCGCAGGAGAATCAAAATAATAGAACTCCTGAAAGTCGAACCAAAAACTCTAGCTACATAGAACTGATTGTATTGTGCAGTTGAGATTCTGGCCTGTCGTATGCAGTCTCTCACTGTTCTGGGAAACTTCTAAAATTGAGAAATTTAGTGGAAGGAAACCAAGTGATCGATTGAAAATGGAAATAATTTATCACCTTACCAACAACTTTCAGGCTAAATTTCATATTTCTTTTCATTATTTTGTAGTGTTTTATTCGGTTAAGGCCTCCAAGGGCACATACAAAGAATTTTTTAATGTGATCATTTGTTAACTTTGTGCAAACAGAATCTTCAAAATGAGAAGGATCAACACAGGATTGGCAAATTGCTAAGGGACAATTCCGTATGGTTCCGCATGGTCGAAGTTGTTAATTTCCACCCGTCAACCGGGAGTGACACATACATGTACGTGCGCCCGTATAAACATCTAATTCTCTGAATAATGCCCCGCCCATGAATGCGTGGTGCTGCTTGTACACGCTTACTGCAGATGAGAGGCAATCATTGTTTGGAATTCAACAGATGGTACAGCCGATTCTCGATATGCTAATGCCATCTAATATCTCATCCGTAAAAATTCACCTTTCACATTGTTGACATGAATATAGAATATTGAGAAAATTACCTACAGATGTTGCAGTTTTTGACACATTCCTGATTACCTCATATGTATATCGAGTTAAGGGTTTCAGATACCAGAAAGGCCTATTATTTTATCCTAAACGATCTGCGTGGGGTTTTCACAGTGAACCGTTTGCCGTTAGAAATTAAAGGTTTGTTAACTGCCAAACGTTAAATTCTCATATCATAACCCAACCCCGAAGGTTATAGTAAGGTCTGCTACGTGTGAGCTCTATTTGACATTTTGCCAATCATTTCTAAATTGCAGTAGTTTTCCATATGTAAGTGTGTATGGGGTTGCCCCCCCCCCCGGCGTCTTCTTTCTAGATAGAAATTGAAATTTGAATTGAACAGAATTAAGCACTTTCCAGCACTGCATCATTTTCACAGTATGTTGTGCATTTGGGGTATGTCCACATAACATGTACATATTCAATTTCCCACGATCACTTGTACATGTAGTCACAGTGATCAATGTACACGTAGCTTTTGCAGTAACTATAATGGCCTTTGAGCCAGTTCAGTATTCCAACTGCGCATGTTCAATACGCGGCTGTTAGGACCCGGCTAAGCGCACGCGATAGTCTGTCCTATCAGCACAGCCACATGCAGACTCACGCGCGTGCGTTGTACCCTAAAGACACCTGGCTTTTTGAAATACCGAACTGCTTATTTGCCTCGAGCAGATGCACCTCCTCACCGGTTGAAAATAGCCGAGTTGGTAGGGAGTGTTCATTTTGTTGGTAGCGATGCGACTCACTGCAACGCTTACGTTAGTCTTGGTCAAGACGTTCTTGTTTGCTAATACGCGAGAGGGCGCTCACAAGACAAATAGCTGGAAAGCACGAACAACACCTAGCCACACCAGGGAAATTGGTCAAAACAGAACATACGACAGAAGCCTTGACCTCATCTTTGTATCGCGTGACAGCAGAATCAGAGTTGATATCAAATTGCTACATCTCGTAGGGCCTACTTCCCGGTCACCAGAGTAATAAAAGGTCTTCACCGTGTAAGCTATTTCTTGACAATTTGGTAATTACTTCTGAAGGATAATCCCCTTCAATTACTGCACATAACACATGCCCCCTCTGCGAAAGAAATTTATCATTTTACATATTTGTACCAATCTACCAGCTCTTTCTTTTTGCAGTGCGGTATGTGTACATAAATTCCAATTCCTTAGATAAGCATAACTGTCCATTCGTCATTGTCGGGTGTGTGATGAACTGTGGTACTACGACAGTTTCCCTCTTTCGAAACCATTCCTCTGAAAACGTATCCGTCCACACAATGTGTGTTTATTGTAGCTTCCTAGTTTCGCTTTCGCAACGGCACGAGGCGCAGAATTGAAATAGCAATGCTTATTAACATGAATAATTTATGTCTTGTGGCGAGAAGCACTGACAGGAAAAGTCCAGTGCACTCACTTTCCTCTTGGCACCATGGACGTTGGGGTTTCTCTTCTCGCAGTCTATCTTATGTGTTTGCAATTCACAGGTAAGATATTGGGCTCTACCCGCGTATACCGCGCAGGCCCCCACAAAGCCGATGATGTCAGAATCCCGGCTCCGTATCAGCGTTCTGCTTCACTCAGTTTATCCATCCTAAGTCATTATTTTCGGCTTACTTGTTGGCATATTTTTTAATAGTTGCAACTCATGATTACTTGGTGTCATTTTGTCCCAACAAGGTCTAGCTGCGAACCTGTCTGTTCGAATGGATCCTGTCGGGCACCAGGTTGCATCGGCCGGGACTAACGTAACAATTAAATGCATCGCTTCAGGGAATGCAAGCTTCGTGAAAGTACTGTTTAACGGCACGAAAGTGATTTCTTCATGCAACTCAACTGAATTGCAGCAGACCAATTCGTCCGAGAGATTGTGTACTCACACAATAGGACCGGTTGATGAGGAATCAGAAGGAAACTACACCTGCGAGCAAACGCTTCATGGAAACGCCGACACGTCAGAAAGTATGGTGCTTTGTGTTCACGGTAAGTGCATAATAATGTAGCAATATATCATAGTGCTTTTATTGCTCGAGTGTTTGGCTCCGCCTGCCCCTGACGTCCCACCTTTCCCAATACCACTTCTTGTAGACGGTGTGCCCGGGGTAAACTAGCCTTGTCGAGGCCCACTTTGACAACTAGCCTACGCTGGATATATGTATTATTAGCTTTAAAAATGATAGTAAACTGGTGTCACATGACCATTTTTTTTTTAAACAGCCGGTACAAAGTTTACCAGTCTGTTTCGTTTCGGACACAAGCCCATTCTGATCTTGTTTCTACTTAAGTTCTCGCATGGGGGCCAGCCTGGTTCCAACAAAAGATCTTCATGGAGACGAGATTTTGCAGGTTCTTTACTGCATGCCCATGTAAGAGAATTTTACCAACATCCTCGTCAGGCGGTGTTAAAATAAAACAGAAACAAGTCAAATTCCTGTGATGCATGATAACTCGTGCATGTTATCAACCCCACAAATATGCGGCTTTCTGTGATTGTGTAGGTCAAAGGCACAAGCTGTAACTCGACCATCAGAATTAGAAGCCCTTACTTCGGTGACACAACGCTCGTGGACAGGTGATACGCGCGCGTTACACGCCTCTTTGACCAATTGGGTTTCGATTTGCCAAAAGCACACGCGCGTCAAGCTGAAGAATGTGCGTGTGAATGCGGTGCAACCGCAGTTACGGCGTCTAATCGGATTAGTGTATAGGTCTCTATCTGATAAATGTACAGGGTGTTCATATTACTTTCTTGACAATCAACTATTGGAGAGCGTCATTCCCGGCAAACATTCAGACTAGAATCTACGAGCCCTTGATGTCTGTCTGTCGGTCATTTTATTAACACCGTGCAACATTTCACCTTCTTTTCCCGACAGTTCAACAACCCTACATCAATATTTTCGACTTGACAACTGGAAGTTTAGTCTCCAGCACTGATGCAACATGCATTCCCTTAGAAACCGAGCAGACCTTCGAGTGCAGAGTTCACGGGGTCTCACCCGACGTGTCCATCGCTTGTTTGGGGAGGAGTTTGAGAGTTTGCGTCAGTCCACAAGCGAGTATGATGGACTGGTGACTGTGAGCAGCAACTTTACCGTGGCCAACACACCAAATACGGGTCAGATGAAGAATCTTACCTGCTATGTCAAAGGTCACTGCGACGTCAATCTTGCATCCACTATCCAGCTTATATTTTGTTCTGGTAAGAAAAGAATGCAGACTTACATGTAAATGAAACAACCAATTCTATTTTAAGGACGAGCTTCAAAATAAGCCCTATCATCAATTAGACTTTTCAATTTGTTGTTCAATTTTTTATCATCTTCCATAAACTTCAACCATGTCAACTTGAAGTGTGGCTGCAATCAATTGTTTTCATACAAACCTTCAAAATTCACCTTAGGTCTCAGCTAACCTTACTTTCAACTTTATTCCACTATTTCGAAGGGTATTTTACTGCCCAATTTGGTTTTAATGGCGAGTATTTCCATATTCATGAGCAAAACTGTGTCATCCCAGGGAGAAACCTCAATGTTGCAATGGTTTGTGAACAAAAGTCCTGCATTTTTGTAGAGCTTTTTGTAAGGCTGTGGGAAGTACCCCCAGTATGCACTAGAGAGTAGGCCTATGTACATGTACATGCGATTAGTGTCAAAATAGCACAAAATATATCGTGGGGTCGCCTTATGCCGTAAAACTTAAAAAGTACTCCACGACAATGTTGATCGTCGCAAATCAGGAACGAACTTGTCTTTCCCCTTGTCCCAGGTTTCAAGCGGCATGTTCACATCTTTCTCCTGACACTGAATGCCATCACTCTGGTTGCCGCTACCACTGTCGCTATCGCCCTTTGTAAACACGCCACCAGGACCAAGCAAGATTAATTGACACCTTCCTTCCCATCGTGCGTCATATAGAGATAGTAGGAAAGCATCTCTGGTCGAGTTCCGGCGGTATGTTCTTGAAACTAGTCTCTTATTGTCGCGCTCGACCGGTAGAAACATGACCCTACAACTCTGTACTCTGCACAGCTAGGATTACACACCACCTCCGATCCTCGTCAGGATTTTACAGGAACACAATACACGGACAAAATCCTGAGACTTTGATATTTGAACAGTTTCAAAAAATAGCCAGACGGCTTACAAAGCCGGAGATATGGAAAATTTTGCTAAATTAACATTAATCATTATTTTCCGTGACACAGAAGTGATTTTTTAATTAGTAGAAAAGAATTCAGCGCGGTAATCCAAACATTAATCTTCAACAAACATTCATGGAAGCCAACGTTGCATGTTGCTTGCCACTAGGTCTTAACTAGCAGCGATAACCAGTTGTACGTTCCCAGCGTTCGAGCGGCCAACCCCTGAACAAATCGAGCTGTTTGCCAACATACGCAAACAAGCCGCCCTAACTCAGCCACTGGTCTCTATCATCAGCATAGAGGTCAGTGAACTCAGCCTACAGCCCCTGTGTCGTGGGTACGATTGAAGTTAAGTGCGCCATCAATTAATAGTTCGTCCGTAGAGGGCGCCCTTGATATGCTATGCACTAATTTGACTGCGAAGAAAAAAAGTTGCAACAATTTTCAAAGTTAACTTTTGAGTTTGAGCAAATTTATAAAAACACAAGCAGACAAAAAAATTCAATTCAAACTAAGCCTGATCAAAGAAAAACGTTTTCAGCAGTTCTGTGTCCACTTGTAATCTGTGACCAAAGAAGAGTCAGAAGGTCAAACTCATAAATTGTGATTACCTTAACTTTTTGAGACACTTTGCCACTTCTAAGTATCTCCGGTGGAGATTTTGAGATGTCAGGAACATACCCTTAAAAACCCTCGGGTCCTTCAATTTTTACGTACGACCTTTGTATAAAAATATAAATGACAAGCAAACTATACTTTCTGGATTTTCTGGATTTTCTAGTTGAGAGCATATAGCCGGAGAAGTAATTAAAACATCTTAATCGACAATAATTTTGTTACCACATCATGCTGTACTCGCCCATTTGCACAACTAACCGTACAGCTTGTATATACACGTAATGTTTTGTACGGAAATATCTTATGGAATGGTGTCGTTGAGTAAGTTTCTCCACAGATCCTCCTTTGGAACTTGCTTAAAGTATTTCTGTAAGATTGTATACTGTGTTTTATTCATATTGTAGTTGCGGTTTTTGGGGTGTAAAATGTTTAAACAGGAGGAAATAAAAGTGGACCAAATTCGGTCTTTTATCTACAGAATTCACTTAAACGAACACAAATCTCTAAAAACCCTAATCAACAAAGCTTGGTTCTCTTCGGTCAGAGTTCTTCTATAAAGACACATTAGCAGCTTTGAAGCATACGATTCAGTACCTACAATACTACAATTTTATTCTTTCTCCGTTGAAGTTGCATATCTTTTGGCATTTTAAGGAAAGATTTTTGCGCTAAACTCTATAACAAGGACAGGTAAGCACCGTCGATACATCGATATTATCGATATGGGTTTGATATCGACAATGCCGATGCTAGTTATTTGGTAATATTGATATATCGAAAATATCAATATAAAAAACCTATATATCAATGTCGGCCAAGATACAATATCGACGGTGCCTAAGGACAAGGAAAACAAAAGTGAACTTGGAAATGCTCCAAAGCAACGGCCTTTCTGTTTCGTATAGTGTAATTCGACCACCAGAATAAGAAGCCATTACCAAAGATTGTATAGCGCCGCGTAGCGGTGCAAGATGGGTAATTCGGCCATAACGGTGTTATCACCATGGGCGCCATTCGAGTGTGAACGTTCATGTGTGTGCGTGCCTGTCGCGGCGCCTGCGCATTAACATGCACTGCGCAGTCGTAGTCCAACCAGAATGGCACCCATGTGATAACAACGTTTACGCGTATTCATGGTGAAGTTCCCCATCTTGCGCCGCTACGCGGCGCTATACAATCTTTGCCATTACTGCGGTGGCACAACGCTCGTGGACAGGTGATACGCACGCGTTACATGCCTCTTCTTCGACCAATGGGGTGTCGTGATTTGTCATATGTACGCACACGTCAAGCTAAAGAATGTGCGTTTGAGTGCGGTGCCACCGCAGTTGTGGCGTCTAATCGGATTAGTCTATACATGTACACATGTACTTGCATTCATATTGCGCGTTCAAGGAGATTGCTATGCTTTTGTTACAAAAACAAAGAATTTGAAGGTGGTAGGAGCAGGGGTTGGGCGAAGTCTTCGACGAATGCGTCATTTAGATCGTGGTCTGGACAGAAGCTCCTGACGATGTACTCCGGGTGAAAACCTCGACAGCGCTGCAGAAGGAAATACAACACGTGCTGGCCGCATACACTGGATTGGCTCCCTTGGATCTGGACCCGGTTATACACGATTCGGGTCGTGTTTCTGCGCAGGAAGTCCTGAAGCATCGGGTGTCTCGGTGGGTGACCTAGAGAATCGAAGACCTCTCCTTCCCCGTCCGGGGTGATGTAGATGCCGATCCAGTGGTTGATGAAAAAGGATGGGATGGATTTCGCTGTGACCACGAAAGCGCTCGGCCACGGGACCGGCTCCTTGGGTAGGCCGTTGGCTGGGTAGATCCCTTGAAAGTAGGGACGGGTAAACTTGTCGGCAAGAAGAGCATGTTCGAGTTGTACGTTATTCATTGTGCTAAAGGTTGGCAGTGTTGGCGGCGGGGACTGTGATGGGAGTTCAAAGGTCAAAGTTAGAGTACACTATATACAGTAGTTATCGACGCCACTTTGGACACGGGTCTTGGAGGTCGCTAGTCTACTGACCTGTCTTAGCAAAAAAGTCAATCAATAATATGTTTACAAATTAATGGTAAGCATAGGTACAAGTACATGTACAAGAATCCTGCTTTAGCGGCTTGGAAAATTTTAAAAGGAATAAACTTGGAGGGTGAAACGGAGTGAGCCCGAAACCACTGTCGTATTGTGAATTTTCATAAACATACACCGTCAGCAAGTGTCGGGATCTAGTCAACAGAGTATGTACATGCATTTCGATTAATTTAACCCGCTATGCGAGCCTCTATTATAATGCACTGTACTGTACCGCCTCTATAATACAAGTGCTCCCAGCCACAGGATATTTCTAAATAGGGCCCTACATGTACATAAAGTCCATTGGCACTGAGGTAGGTACATGTACACACACACTGTTCTTGTTCAAATGAGGTGGATGTGAGAAAATCAGAGAGTATTGCTTTTATGAAAAACAACGGATCTTCATGAAGCAACACTTGACAAGCACTGCTTTTAATCTTGGGGACCCCCGCCCAAATACACGCACATGCACATTGTGAAACTGGTTCTAAAGAGTAATATTATGTGGAAAATGAACTCAGTGAACTGAACTGAAAGCGATGTAGAAAACCATGCCCACCTGCATGAAGTCACGTCTCCTTTCAGCCAACTGAAACCGAGCAAATTGATAGTCAAGGCAAACTCGCAACTAGTGCCATCACGTACACTAACTGCTCGCAGAGACCGTGTATTGTCTGCAGAGCAGAAATAACTAAAAGCTCAATAAATATGCATGAATAAGCACACCAGTCATGCATCCACTGGCCACAGTTATTTCCAGCACTTTGGTTTTCACTTGGCGGCTTTCAGCCTCGAAACAAATTCACTTTATATAATCGTCCGCCGGGTAGTCAGAATATTCCACAAGCCTCAGTGACTACGTGTACATGTATTTCAATAATTCGTTACGCGCCATTTGACACCAACACAACAGCTTTCTCAAACGCACCTGATCCAGCCGGAACTTTTTCATGACTGAAATCAAAGCAACTTTTCAGAGTTGTAAGTGTATTAGACGAGAACGTTTTTTCAACACTATGGAATGTAATAGTCGTTGGAGAGCTAATGGCGCATTACAGCAGTCAAGGTAACAATGGTCGCTTTTAAACCGTCCTTGCTTTTTCCGCCCGACACATCAACTTTAGTTGAATTGAACCAGCCAGGGTTTGAGTTCCATGAAGGTAATCCACGATTCCAAACTTTGCAGCATTTGCAGTAATTACCAGTGCCTGAAGGATACAGTTGGGAACTTTCACGAATGACATCAGCATTCATGTTTTTTATTTCATGTTTTTTCTAGGACAGGATCGAGGTGAAACTGTGCTTACGCTATCACCGTGGCACTTGTGAATCAATCATTCCAAGAGAGGGCGAGGTCGAGACAAGTTGAATACAGCATGATCTGAGTAGCACACACTTAAGCTACAATCTTGGACCAAATTGTTGGGACACTTGGCAATAGCAATACGCTCTCCAGCCCTCCCCCACTGGGCCCCTGTCAAATGTTGTCACGTCCAGCCGGAGCGCAGACCGCGCGCATAGACCCAACATTGAAGGGTGTTGGAGGCCCAACGTGATCATGGTTCAGGATAATGTTAAGAACATCAGACGAAGCACACAACCATGTCCATTATTATAGAGAAGTAAAGTTACCACCGTCTGAGCCCAAACACGCAGTCGGCATTAGCTCATTATGTGTAAAACACCTGTTAAATAATAAACATGTACTTGCAAATTCGATCAAACCTCTTGATTGCACAAAGCCTCGTCTTTACTTCCCCATTCCCTCATGTCAGGTCATTAATTTTTCGGGATACACTTACGAAGGAGTTCAAAGATTCATTGAAACATTTGACAGGAAACATAAAGGATGCAATACTTAACCAGTTCCCGCCGGATTGCCCCTAAGAGACAAAGTTTCTGTGGAAGGGCTCTCCAACTGGTCAAATGGTAAAACAGGAAACCACGGCGCCGTTTACAAAATCTTGACAGAAGCATGCTCAATTATCACGACAGCAGAAACATAATGAAGGAAACCTCTTCCTCTCTTGCATCTTTGCAGGAACTGAAACTTAGCAATGATGAAAAGTTGGCTTAGAATCAATGACAGATGAGGGCCTAAAAAATCCTACAAATGCCTTTGAACGCCGCAATAAAAATCCCTTTCTGTCTGTGAACACTAGAGGGCGGTATGAAATATGACATTTTCTGGGATACATGGCACGTGGCTACACTACACACGTGTGTCACTGGGTCAACAACAGGGTCAACAATGTGTCTTGCAAACAATCTCTTGACTACATTGCACGTCACCAAAAAATACCAAAAACTCCCGCATCGGTGCCAAGAAATAGCAGTTCAGGCATACAGACATAATAGATTAAAACAGAAGGACTGAAGTAAGCATTTCACAGATAAGTGCTAGAAATACCTGAAATATGACACTTGACACTCAATATAGTGGTACATTGATTTGCGTTCGAATTCCAGATTGTGTGTGCTATTTGAGCATTCAAGTTTGTCAGCCTAGAGTGATACTGATGCATGTATTTTTACATTTTGGTATCAAGTGTTTCCCTGTGCTTCAGTTCTTCTTTCCAGAGCAACAAGACAGGAATTTTGGTACATTGTATTTAAAAAAAATCATTGCTAGTATACGGTAAACTTAACATGGTAGACTTGGCCTAACACAAAATGGTAAACATACCAATTTTTTATAAAAAGTCCAAGGATGATGGCTTTGACAGACTGAGTGTAATTAAGCAGGTTCTAGTACTTACCAGTCATTCATGAAGAACACTTTTGTGGCGTCCTCATGCTTGCAGAGAAATCTGGAAAGAAACCATTTTTCTTTTTAAACATGTTTAAAACAATCGATAATGTCATGTTGAATTTTATTAGGTAAGACAATTTCTATCTCTGAACACGTATAAATTATAAAATATTAGGGCATGAGTGGTTCTCATTTCTGACTGACCCCTATTTTTGGCTCTGACCGAGGAGAAACTAACTTTTTCAAATGCTGCCCATTCTATCTGGAATCTCCCGCTGAGAAAAACTGAGCACAAAAGTTATAAATCGTACGAATTTCCAGGAAAAAGGCAAGTATTTCTCACCCCTCATTTGGTCCCCGGACTGATGGACCCTCCTTTAAGGCAAAAATAATGAGATCCCTGTAATAAATAGGACCCCTTAGCCTAATACACATTTACACCACAGAAATATTATTTATAGTATAATATTATTTTAAGAAATTTCCATGTAAATATAGGCCTACTGGATTGTAGTATGAGGGGCCTCGTACCTTCTAAGTAAATTTTTTCCATCAAGTCCCCTTTGAATAATGAGAGGAAAGTTGGCATTGAGGTAGAAACACTCGACTTACCATATACCGGTACCTTCAAATTCTTCATATTTCATGACATCACTCAATTGCCGACCTCAGTACTTGTTGCGGTTTTCATCTGTGACATTATTGGGAAGTGGGCAAACAATCTGCTATACATGTATATTGCCACTTAAAACAAATGTTCATTTCATTAAAAGGGAAATTAGCAACTCGGGCTCAGAACATGAATTGACAAAAGTTCTGAGACACTACATGCAATGTTGTTCTTCTCAGTTGAAATGTATATAAGGCTATAAAAGCAAATGTGTCTTATTTTTCAAAAATAAAAAATGGATAGCATATGTACTGAACTTGGTACAGTGTAATGATAGAGGGTTTTGTGAGTAAATATAGACAAATTCCTTAAGCAAACAAATCTTCCAATTGAGAAAAATTACGGAATTTTAGTGTGCCGGTACACACTAAAAAAATCTTTTAGCTAGGCCTACATCTATTCTTTATTTATTTTATTTTTTTAAATTTATTTCATTTCTCGGGAAATACAGGTAAACAAAACAGAGAGTAAAATATAAATGTACATGATGGAACAAAGAACAAAACCCAACCAGTCCCTGATGAATTGCCCAAAAGAAAAAGATACCTTTTGAGGGGCTCTCCAGAAAATTGACTTAAAAACTTACATAAATACTTGAATATAAATATATTGATATAAATATAAATATATTGATATAAAACACTATTCAAGAAAATTACATATACACATACATGTAATAATAATTTAAAATGTTTAGTGCGCCCTTTCCATCGAAGTGATCAAAGGCGCATTAAACTGAAAACTGATTTAAAACCAAGTACACAAAAAACAGTTTAAAAATCCAAACACGCGAAACTATTTAAAACCAAAGCAAATTATACAATAGTAGCAGAGAGAAAAAAACCAGGCCATGAGGCCACGAGGCATAATTAATGGTCCAATTTGCTGTAGCTAGAATACTAAAATGTACTTACTATTAAAGTATAAGGTTCAGATTAAGGATAATGGAGTGAACATGTACTCTACCTGTAGTTTGAGGACCGGTTGGAAGATACAGAATGCACAGGAGATAGGTTCGAGGTTGAATTCTTAAATTTCCAATGTTTAAAAATCAACTAATCTTCAAAATATTCAAAGCCAATGATTCTTAAATACACATCTAACCATTCTATTTCAACAACAGTTTAATCATCACATTTATACAATGAGAAATTTGCTCGACGCGTGAATGCAATCAGATATTAGTGATATCAATCAGGTTGAAGTTAAACATGTTAAGAGAGGTAGAACTTAGGAGACCGAGGACATTTGCAAAGACTATTCTCATGCCAACCGGTACACCATAGGCCCATGAGTTAGCCAGACATAGCCTATATCAAGGAAACATTCACAGGCAATTTTACTCTCTCCTCTATGGTGCAAGAAAGTAATTAGTTCGGGCGGGGGGCACATCATTTTGCACGTGTGCGAAACCGACGGAATTCAGTTTCATGCTGTGATGAAAAGCACAAGTCAGCAAATCGACAAATCAAACCATGGAGCTCCATGATCAAACGTTATCTTCCAATCCCTGAGCCTACCTACCATATCATTGAATTACTCTTCTCGACTGTCGGGATGTAATCCCTTCCAACAATCCCCGGCGCTCAATTCTAGCACGGTGTGACCGGATTTGGAGCACATCTACATTCTGATCCTGGGACAATGTTTTCTTTCCGCAACAAAACCCAGTCTGGGCTGTCAATCAACTATTTTACGGCGTTACTTTTACAATGACAAGCCAACGATAATTGACACATTGTGCATGGAAGGTCAGAGGTTACGGTTGAGTGACTTCCTGGGAAACATACCTTTGCTTGGAACTATTTTGTTTACTATATTGCCTACCGATTCCTTTCTTTATGAAGTTCTGATAAAAATCGACATTATGAACTGAATTGAGGAATCTTTCTGTAGAATTAAGACAGCAAAAGGAAGTCTAGGTGTGAAATTTAGGACAAAGGGCTTGGCGGATGAATATTGCAACCACTTATCCATTGCTAATGTACACAACACAGTACCTGTCGTCGAGTGCATGCGTACATGCGGCCACGGTATGGTGCACAGTTTGTTATGTGACCGGGAAAATTGACAGGATCGTAGAAAATACTCCGATTTTGGGCCGCTTCGATGGAACATTATGCTACATTCGAGGACACTATCATGTAGGTGACATCTTGGCTGCCTGCAGAGATGGCATGGCTATGGATTCTAGTCTTGGTATGCTGTTTACGAGCACAAATACGAGGTGAGTTTTGGCAGGGGAATGCCGCTGATAGTTGAGGCTTGGAGTCCCGCTACTGTACTGTACTTGTCGGGCTGCGCTTGCTTTGTGCACGTTCAGCGTAGGCCAAAGAGTGGTCGAATTTCAATACAGAGTGTCCTAAATCTCACACGTTGTCGAACATGTGGAATTTAATTTATTGTTTGAAGTAAATTAGTCTTTGGTCTGTCTGTATTTCCTACCAACACAATGTGGTGGTTGCGTTTTGGGTGTATTTTAGAGAATTTGGGTCGAAGTTGAGAGATGAATTCAATCAATTACAAAGCCTAGGCTAGTGTTACATGGGCATGACGGGTGACTACCGAACACATGCCCAAACGTGTGCAGACTACCTGTGTAGAAGAACCTTGCTGTTAGGCTAGAATGTATAGAATTAAACACGAGGTAGGGCTGTATGTGGTTAGGATGAAGCGTAGACTTCAGTATTTTGAACATGAGACTGGTTGTTGATGAGTTTGGAGACTGTCCAGCATGTCCAGTCATGTTAGTTATAGTTGAACTTACACACTTTGTAAAATCCTTATAAATAGGTGCATCTGCCCAAAATGTCTCTGCCATGTCGGTATGCCCAAACTGGGGACATAACTCAACCTCTAAAATGAAACACTAATAGTCAGTGTCACACTCTCTGTGAAAACTGATGCCAAAGAGCATGCCCAGAAGTCCTTCATGTAGTAGTGTTTCGCCTAAAATACCATCATGAATGTTTCAGTACTGATAATGACCTTCAGAACGGGTGACCACTGCAATTTATTGCAGGGGCATGGTATGGTATGCAAAGCTCAAGACAAAGTACGAGGGAGGGATGGCGTGGCTTGGTGATTCACAGCCCGCTTTACCATTTTGTGTTTCAAGGCATGAAGCTAATATCTCAGTGTAAATACAGTAATTTAAACATACTGTATGCTGTTTTATTTTGACCAATTATTCATCAGGATGCTACTTACATGTACATGTACATGCACAGGTGCAAAAGTCTAATTATGTACAGGTCTGTAGATACAATTACACGTGAAGGTCCGGACAGACCGAGTCAAGCAATTCCACCATCTTACTGGTTGAGATGAGGTCATATTTTATTTTAGTTTGCCACCAAATGGTTAGCAAAAAATATTATTATTGAAAAAATACATGCAAGCAACCAAGAAATGAGTAGCTACCAGTAAAGTCAGTCATTGTGGACAGTAGGATTGTGATATTTGTTTAAGCCAAGATCAACTTTCTTCCACACAGTGAAAGATTCTAAAGCATTACAAGTGGTTCCAGGCATTAATCAATGCATTTTGAGCTTTTTGCTTACATGTACTGTATGTACATTTAAAATGCATCACACAGTGAATCCACCTCTCGTGATTATGGTTTGATGATGTTTGTGAGCAGCAACTCTCGGTACATGTACGGTGTACCCCGGTACGATGTACCTGTGACATTGTGTCACTTTGATGCAGAGCCCCACCCACTTCTCCGCCCTCCCTCCTAAAGGTGTTGACATACATGAACACCTGCGCATGTATGAATTATAGCTTTCTATGTACGTACGGTACATTAATTGCATGAACTGGCTGATATTCCCACCGTCGCTTTCTTTCACATTTGACCCCAAACCATAGCTTCGTAGGGGAACAGTTTGAAAGTTTATGCAGTAAACATTCTAAGTTGATGGCAGAAAGGCAACACGTAGATCTCTCTTTGTGCACGTTCGTCCCTAATGTTGCAGCAGACCTGTAGATCAGGGCTGATTGCTTCACAGGTGAATGTTAATGCAACTTTAGTGGTCAGTCCTGTGTGTATGCATAGGATACATCTGTAACAACAAGCCATGTCGTCTGCGGGTGCGCAAGCCTAACTCTGGTCGCACCCATTCAGGTAACTTTCAGGTGCAATCTTACCTGGAATTTACCTTGGGAAAAAGTGTTAAATTATTGAATTAAATCCATGTTTGATATGTGTGAGGTGGCTTTTTTTGTCATGCTTCTCCTATTTAAGTTTAGTAGTCATGTTCCATGTAGGGTGCCCCACATAAAGTATTTGAACACACTATGTACATGTGTACAGTTTGTAAATGGAAGTGGAGCTTCAAACTCTGCTTTTCTGTGGTGCAAGTTTTTGAAAGATGCTGTCAACAAAGGAGTGCACAGGCTGTTAAAAAAGCATGTGCTCATGCTGAGAAGCATGTTTGAGTTTCTATAGTGCAAATCATTCCCGATTCAGGTAGTGCAAACCCTGGAATTAACAGTACATGTAAAGGTTTACAATTTTACGCTCTGACTGTTGTACGCCCTTGAACCTGGCGGCTTCAAAAGATAGGAAGACTGAAACCCTGTTGGGCCTTTGTGCACCTGATTCGATGGCAGATGATATGGTAAAATCTACCTGTAAAGAGGAATATGATTGATTGGTTGCTGTGAATAAAGTCACAAAAGAAAAGTGCATGTAGTCACACCTGTTGGTTCCGGGGAGGTGAAGTCTTTTTAATAATTTATTTTCTTTCTCGGCCTCTGTGGGTGTTTGTGTAGCTGGCTAGGTTAGGATTGGAGTTGCATATCCCTGTAGCTTGAACATATCCAGGAACTGCCTGTAAGATTGTTGACCAAGGATTTTTTTATCATGCTGATTATTAGAAAAAGGATTGTGGAAGAAGAGCATTGCAAGTTATACCAGAAGGCAAAAGTGTTTTAGTAAACTTTTGTAACATTGGCTGAGCTTGTGGTATGGGTTTTTTTTTTTCAAACAGAATTAGTTGACACTTATATTTAGTTCTCATTACTGTATCATGCTTTAAATTCTGAAGAAATGCTTTCATATTTGAAGTTAGACTTTGTAGCTGCCTGCTGGCCATTAAACTTTCTGGCCGCCAAACCTAAGAATGGTGTCATTTTAACACCAAGTCACCGGGTATCACTTAATTTCGTTTCATGTCCAGCTCCCCCTCAAGGAATATCTGCATTTCCAATTTGCCAAAGCAATTTCCATCTGGTGTTGATGTTTTAGTGAACACCCATCCTCTAACAGGTTTTCACACTGAATCGATGTGCCCAGGTGTAGGAAGATTCCCATGTGTCAAGTTTGCTGTCACAGGTTTTGTTCCCTGTTGACCTTGTCAGGCATTACGTTACACTATCTCCTTGACACTCTGAAGGCTTGAGGGAACAGACCCATGCCAATGAATCCTGGTCATTAGAGCAAACAGTAATAAGAGCTATATTGCCTGGGTCAGTTTACATGGTGAATGGCTATTTTATGAGATAACTAGGACTGTAGGAACTTGCAGGATGGTGGACAGAAGATTTGATGGAAGCAGGTGTTAATCAAAAAAGAACTGATGTGTGTGATGCTCATTCACTTTTCTGAGTTCTTTTGATGCATTACTTATAAAACTTTAATTCTGGAACTTATTACTGTGACAGTACCAGGTTAAACAAAGGTAGATTAAATAGGCTAAGATTTTGGCTGTACCTTTAGCGTTGCAAACAAAAATTTCTGTTTTAAAGGTCTCATGATTCACTGTTAAAGTGTCTTTTACTTCATATATTTGTGTGATTTTATTTGAGGTGTTCTTCTCTGTAGAGAAGATCTGAAGCAAAACGGATGAAACCTCTTGCGTCTTAAAAGAGTCAACTTCTTCCTAATCCACTTTTACTTTATCAACTCTTTCAAATACATCTGAAAGTTCATGTACTAGTATATATATATATGAAAACTGCATCGACTTACATGTATGATTAAGGATTGATTTTGCTGTTATCTCTCAGCTTTAACTTCGGCCATTGTACCTCATTAAACCACATTCTGACTGTCAATCGCTGCCCTATTATCATCTGACAGCCGTGTACTTTCGGTTACTGGCATGTAAAGTAATTAACGTTGCCAGACAATTTCAGAGTCGTTGAGTGCATCTGTGGTGCACTAGGTCAGAACGTGCCAGATTTACATGTCCGTGAAAGATTTGCACTTTGTTAATACACGGTGTAGTTTGCAGCGGTCTGATGGATCTGTGCGCGCTTGAGCTTCGGCCTTCAGGCTAAAATTTGGGAATTACATGTATATTGCACTAAGTACAGAATCATATTGCTTAGCAGTGCAGTAACCAGTTAAAATGTGCAAGTGTACATGATACTGGAGACTGCCTATTGACAGGTTTGCTGCTTTTGGCCAAACAGTAATTTTGGCTAATTTTACCAAATGAAAAAAATTCTTCATACGTTTAGATTTAGTTTTCATCAAAGACATTCCAGTACTTTTATTTGAAAATAGAATAAGTTACCGGTAGGTGAAACTCATCTTGCTTGTAAGAAGCGTGTACATTGAGGGTGTTGTTCACTGTGAACTTGTGAAGTCATTTTATTCTGTTCAGTGGGAAAGGTGTACCCTACTCATGGAGGAATGCCTTTCGTCAACACTTTAGTTAAAAGGGGCGGTGTTGTTTTGAAATATTACCGATTAGCATTCAAGTAGGCCCATAGGATATGTACATGTACGCTGTGCATTAGGGCCTACATGTCCATGCACCAGCAGGTGAATTCTGTAAACACAACCTGAACACACAGTGTAGGTCCTACATACTGTAAATTTCCAGTAAATGGATTTCCGTTTCCCACAAGTGCCCCTAATTGTAAATACGCCACAGCCTGCCCTGTGCCTGGTCTATGCATTGATCAGCAGTGTATATCATTGAAAAGACCAGCATCCACCACCCATCAGCACTGCATGTTGCGGAGTATTCCTGGTATTGTCCACCATCTTGAGCTGAGGTCAAAGCTTACTGAGGCACAGTGGGGGCTCTGCTGAGCTTCAGACAAGTCTAATTACCGTGAAATGATGGATTTCATTAAAGGGACTTTCACACTCTAGGAAGGGCCCTGGTACTCACACTTACTCATATAATTTGTGAAGATGAATAACACCTTGTTTGCGAATTTAAAGGGGCATTGTTTTTATCTGTGGGATTTTACCCTTCTTTTACTCTACAGTTCTTAATTCACCACTGGGGCTCATTGATAAGATTACTGCCATATACAGTCGAACCACGTGAAGAAGAGGCCCTTCGGACTTGGCAAATTAACCTTGTATTATCAGAAATGGAAACAATGATAAACAAAGGATTCGGACCTAAAATTTTCCTTGTTATAAGCAGACTCTTGTATTAACAGTGTTCTTATTAACGAGGTTCGACTGTATACATTATGTACATGTAAATGATAATGTGTTGGCTACAGTATGTTGAAACCACAATCAAACATCTGATTCAAAACATTTTCAATTTCAAATTGAAACTAACTAACATAACCTGGAACCAGTAACTTATCTTCTTGTTTTGCTACTTTTACTTTTAGCCTTACCTCCGGAACTTGTCTTTGCGAATCGCAAGGACATTCGCATCCTCAACTTTGGGATGTCCAACGACTCGGACGTGGCCACGACAGAGTCCAGCATCATCATTGGCAATCTGGAGGATGCGGCAGCCATGGATTACTTGTTCTCCGAGCAACTCATCTTTTGGACCGACGTCAGCATCGAAATGATCAAGCGGATGCGATATAATGGTTCCCAGATTCAGGAAGATGTCATATCCACTGACGTGAAAGCTCCAGATGGACTGGCCTGTGATTGGGTGGGCAGAAAGATTTATTGGACAAACACAGAGACGAACAGAATAGAAGTGAGTGAATTGAACGGACAGTCAAGAAAAGTTCTGTACTGGCAGGATTTGGACCAACCAAGAGCAATTGTGGTACATCCTGAAAGAGGGTTAGTATTGCTTATTGCTAGCATCAATTGGCCACGTGTAGACTTAGA